GTCACGGACGGCTCAGCGAGGCACTGCTCTGAGGCCTTGGGGAGCACGGGGAGGCCCGGACAGAGACATGACAGCACACGTGCCGCTCGGCCGGAGCCACAGCCGCAGGGACGTTAGCCCTGCCGCCGGCTCAGGGGGAGGCCCCGGAGGTCGCGGGTTCGATTCCCGGTCAGGGCGAGGCCCAGGCTGCCGGCTCCATCCTGGTGGGGGCGTGCAGGAGGCAGCTGATCGAAGTTCCACTCTCACATCGATGTTTCCCTCCCTCGCCTCCCTCTCTCTCTAAAAATTAAAACAAACAAACTAAGGACTGGGAGGGCCCAGCAGTGAGAAACACACCGCCCTCAGGCAGTGAGCCAGGACAAGGGACGCCTCACCTTTCGCCACGGGGCTGCCACAGGCCCACCGCCCGCTAAGAGCAAACGCACAGCCCAGCGCCTGGAGGGCGGGCCTGGCTGTGGCTGTGGCTGTGGCTGGTGGAGGGCGGGCCTGGCTGTGGCTGTGGCTGTGGCTGTGGCTGGTGGAGGGCGGGCCTGGCTGTGGCTGGTGGGATAGCCACTCTGGGAAACAGCGGGCAGCTTCTTCACACCCTGCAACTCTGGCGGGGGATGGGGTGGGGGGATCGGGAGGTGCACCCCCGGATGCGGCCCCAGCGAGAGGGAGGCCTGTGTCACCCAAACACCCGCACAGCGTTCCCGCAGCTCTGCTGACGGCCGGACAGGGCGGCACCCGGAGCCCTCGGGGGGTGGACAGACACCCATGGCCATTGGCACCCGGGATGCCGCTCTGCCCTGGCCGGGCCGGCCGGTGCAGCGCAGCCCGGAGGCTCCGGGGACTCCCTGCCTCCCCGGCTGTGGCCACAGCAGCCCCGTCCCCCGCGTCTGTGTCCGAATCCCCCTCCTTCCTCTGACACCCCCCGTCCCGGGCTCCTGCGGACGCCCGTTCCCAATGAGCTCGCGGCTGAGGCCCTGGACGTGGACTCGGGGGCGGACACCGGCCATTGCACCCCTCGGGGGGAAGGCGACCGGGGGGGTGCTCTCCGGGGCGGGTTCGGCAGGTGTGAGTGGGATTGTGCTCCGTCAGGCACCGCCTTCCCGTCTGCCCCTGGGACGTGGCTTCCCGGCGTTCCCGTGGGATGGGAGCAGGCAGGGGGGGAGGGGTGAGGGAGGGGACAGCCCGAGCATGGAGTAGGGGGAGACAGGAAGGCCCGCCCGCAGGCCCCGGGAAGAGGGTGTCCGTTTACTGTGGGCGGACGCCCCGCATGCACAGGCCCCGGCCACGCTCCTGGTCCTGGCCCTGCCTCGGTCTCCCCCACACCCGCCCCCCTCTCCGCAGCGGGTGCTTGCCCTTCTCGAACCCTCTGGCCTCCAGGGCTCTGGCGTGCCGGCCGCCTCCAGCTGCCCAGGCTGGCTCTGGCCCGGCCTGTGGTTTGGAGGAGGAGGGTGGTGAGCGGGTATCTCTGGGGCCACACCCAGTGCCCCGTGGGGTTCCCACAGGGCGACGTGCTGACCACCAGGCACCGGGTGGACCTGGGCGACGGCTCCGCGCCCCTGGCCGTGAACCTCACGCTGCGCAGCGAGCGCGTGCGGCACCGCTACGAGAGCCCGGGCGTGTACCGCGTGGCTGCGCGGGCGGAGAACGCGGCGGGGCACGCCGAGGCCGTGCTGTTCGTCCAGGTCAACCGTGAGTCCCGGCCGGAGCCTCCCGCAGAGCGCCGGAGCGGGGGCCCGGCCTCCCGGGGTCTGCAGGGTGCTGTTGGGGTGGCGGTCACGATGGTGGTGGTGGTGGTGATGGTGGTGGATGTTGGTAATGTTGGTGATGATGGTGATGATGGTGAAGGTGATGGTGGTGATGGTGGTGGTAGTGATGGTGGTGGTGGTGATGGTGGTGGTGGTGGTAGTGGTGATGGTGAAGGTGAAGGTGATGGTGGTGTTGATGGTGGTGATGGTGAAGGTGGTGGTGATGGTGGTGGTTGTGATGGTGGTGATGGTGATGATGGTGAAGGTGATGGTGGTGATGATGGTGATGATGGTGATGATTGTGAAGGTGATGGTGGTGTTGATAATGGTGATGGTGATAATGGTGATGGTGGTGATGGTGATGGTGGTGGTGATGGTGGTGGTGGTGGTGATGGTGATGGTGGTAATGATGGTGGTGATGGTGGTGGTGGTGGTGGTGATGATGGTGAAGGTGATGGTGGTGATAATGGTGATGGTGGTGATGGTGGTGGTGGTGGTGGTGATGATGGTGATGGTGATGGTGGTGATAATGGTGATGGTGGTGATGGTGAAGGTGGTGGTGGTGATGGTGGTGGTGGTGATGGTGGTGATGGTGGTGATGATGGTGGTGATGGTGATGGTGGTGGTGGTGATGGTGGTGGTGATGGTGATGGTGGTGGTGATGGTGATGATGGTGGTGGTGGTGGTGATGGTGGTGATGGTGATGATGGTGAAGGTGATGGTGGTGATAATGGTGTTGGTGGTGATGGTGAAGGTGGTGGTGGTGATGGTGGTGGTGGTGGTGATGGTGATGGTGATGGTGGTGATGGTGGTGGTGGTGGTGATGGTGGTGATGGTGAAGGTGATGGTGATGGTGGTGATAATGGTGATGGTGGTGATGGTGAAGGTGATGGTGGTGATGGTGATGGTGATGGTGGTGATAATGGTGATGGTGGTGATGGTGAAGGTGATGATGATGGTGATGGTGGTGGTGGTGATGGTGATGGTGATGGTGGTGGTGATGGTGGTGATGATGGTGGTGATGATGGTGATGGTGGTGATGGTGATGGTGATGGTGGTGGTGATGGTGATGGTGGTGATGATGGTGGTGATGATGGTGATGGTGGTGATGGTGATGGTGATGGTGGTGGTGATGGTGATGGTGATGGTGGTGGTGGTGGTGGTGATGGTGGTGATGATGGTGATGGTGGTGGTGATGGTGATGGTGGTGATGGTGGTAATGGTGATGGTGGTGATGGTGGTGGTGATGATGGTGATGATGGTGATGGTGGTGATGGTGATGGTGGTGGTGATGGTGATGGTGATGGTGGTGATGGTGGTGGTACTCATGTTACGTTGAGGATGTCAGTGACCAGAGCAGCCTCTGAAAAGCCGAGTGCCCTGATGCCCTCTAACCCCGACCTTTCTGTGCCCCGTGCAGCCCCCCTGGAGGGCCTCTACCTCGAAGTGGTGCCTGTCGTCGGCATTGGCGAGGAGGTGGCCCTCACCGCCGTGCTGCTGCCCCTGAACCCCAACCTCACCGTCTTCTACTGGTGGATCGGCCGCAGCCTGCAGGTGCGCCGCCTGCACTCCGCGGCCCTCGTCCCACAGGCTCCCGCGGGGAGGGCGGGCTGGGCTCCTGGGTGCTCCTGTGGGGGGGCCCTGGCTCTGGGTTCGAATCGCAGCTCCGCCTCCTTCAGCCACGTGCTCGGCCGGTCCCTGGCCCTCCCAGAGCCTCTGCGTCCCCCAGAGGCCGCGGCAGCCCTGCCCCCGCCGGGAGGTGACGGTGCACCCGCCCGGGCCGGGCGCTGAGGGACGTGGCCGCCGAGGGGGCTGGGGGGTGGGGTCAGGTGGCGGCCCAGCCTGAGGCCCGCCTACCCTCCGCCGTCCCCAGAGGGGGCTGGGCAGGCGGCAGGCGTGCCCCTGCGGGTCCCGGGCCTCCCCGCCGGGCGCTCCCGCCGTGAGAGCAGCCCGGCTCCCGGCACAGCCGCTCGGCCTGACCCTCCTGCCCCGCAGCCCCTGCTGTCGCTGAACAACTCCATGGCGACGCGGTTTGCGGACACGGGGGAGGTGCGTGTGACGGTGCAGGCGGCCTGCGGGAGCTCCGTGCTGCAGGCCTCCAAGGTGGTGCGCGTGCTGGGTGAGTCCTCGGCTCCGCCCGGCGCTCCTCCGGGGACCCTGGCCCTGGGCCCAGTGGGGCCTGTGGCCCTCGGGGGAGACGTTGCCGTAGAAACGTCTCCTCAGGATGGGAGGGACCCCCCCCACCCCCAGCAGTGCCACTGCCCTGGCCGCCAGTACGGACCAGTTAGCTTTAGGAGCTGGTCCTGCCCGGCCGGCGTGCTCAGTGGTTAGCGTTGACCTATGAACCAAGAGGTCATGGTTGGATTCCCGGTCCGGGCACAGGCCGGGTTGCGGGCTCCATCCCCAGTGTGGGGTGAGCAGGAGGCAGCTGATCCATATTCTCTCTCGTCTTTGATGTCTCCCTCTCCCTTCCTCTCTGACATCAATAAAAACACATTTTTTAAAACAGAGCCGCAGCCTCGGCGCTGTCCCCGCCCCTCATTGTGGTCCTTGCCGTGATCCAACGGCCGATGGCGGCACGGCCTGGGGTACGCCCGGCGGCATGGACCGTCTCCCCAGGCGCCGGGCCGGGCGCCCGGGACTGAGCAGCCCCTCGGCCTCTTCCAGACCAGTTTGAGGTGGTGCCTCTGCAGTTCTCCCCGAACCTGGACGCCTACAACCCCAACACGCCCGAGTGGAGAGAGGACGTCGGCCAGGTGGTCAGCTGGCTGCTCGCCAAGGTGCGCGCCTGCCCCCCACTCCCCCCAGGCCCGCTCCCCGCCGCGAGGCCCACCGGGCGGGGCTGACGCCGGGGCTCAGGAGGCATGAAGCTGGGGGGCCACGGGGGGGGGGCAGGACAGCACCCTGAGCACATCTATGGGGCACCGGCTGTCCGCATCCAGAATTCTCCGAAGGGTTTCTTTCTGGGGCAGCCCCTGGAGCCAGAGCAGAGCGGGGTGGTGGGGCCTCCACGGGCAGTGCGTCCGAGGGGGCCCAGGACCCGCGAGGCCCTGGCCCTGGTCTCCCAGGCTGAGGCCCACGGCCAGGCCTCCTCTCGCCCATGAGTGATGCTGGCCTCATTGTCGGGGCTTTGAAGGATGAATAGGAGTTTGCTAGTTGGAAGTGCAGGGATGGGACTTCCAGGAGGCAGAGGGGCCCGCATGAGCTGAGCCCTGTGGCTCAGGAGGACATTAGCCGGGAGGTGGGGGGCGTTCACAGAGCCTTGGGGAGAGGAATGGCCCAGTGTGTGGGGGCCTGGCCAGGCAGGGCCGGTGTGGGGGGCCTGGCCGGGCGGGTCGGTGTGTGTGTGGGGGGCCTGGCCGGGCGGGTCGGTGTGTGGGGGGGCCTGGCCGGGCGGGGCCGGTGGGGGGTCCTGGCTGGGTGGGGCTGGTGTGTGTGTGTGGGGGGCCTGGCCGGGTGGGGCCGGTGGGGGGGCCTGGCTGGGCGGGGACGGTGTGTGTGTGTGGGGGCCTGCCAGGTGGGGCCGGTGTGTGTGGGGGGGCCTGGCCGGGTGGGGCCGGTGTGTTTGTGTGGGGCCTGGCCGGGCGGGGCCGGTGGGGGGGCCTGGCCGGGCGGGGCCGGTGTGTGTGGGGGGCAGTGCTGCGGGGCCGGAGGGCCGACAGCAGGGGTGCGGGGCTGTGTGGCTCTGGGCCATCCCGTGGGGCCGCGTGCCCTGGGAATGGCTGCAGGACAGAGGCCGGAGGGGCGGGGCGGGCGAGAGGAGGCAGCGGAGGCGTGCAGCGTGTGGCGCCCGCCCCCAGGAGACGGCCATCCCGGCGGAGCTGCTGGTGACGGTGCTGGAGCCGGGGCTGCCCACCGCGGGCAGCCTGTACGTGCTGCCGCCCCCGCCCGGGCCCTCGAGGATGAGCAGCGCCTCCGGCGACCAGGTACCCGCGGCCACGGCGCCTCCGGCCGGCGGCCGCCCCCGGGAGACCGCGAGCTCGCCCTCAGCCCCATCGAGGCGGGCTCCCCCCCCCCCCCCGGCCCGTGGCCTCCCAGCTCACCTCCCGTCACAGCGGGGGGTGGGGGGCATGGGGTGCGACCACCCCACCCCATCCCACGTCACCGTGGAGCTGCCCACGGGGACCCAGGGCCGGGTCAGGCAGAGCAGAAAGCAGCCCAGGCACGCCCACGGGGGGCCCGCGGGTGGCCCACGGGGGGCCCGCGGGTGGCCCACGGGTGGCCCGCGGGTGGCCCGCGGGTGGCAGGCCGGGGACTCGAAGCTGACGGGGCCTCGTCCCCGGACGTGCTGCCCGGCTGAGCCTGGAGGACCCGACGCCACGTGGGAGAAGCCGGCACCGGCCACGGTTCCGTGGCCCGTGTCTGTGGCAGGGCCAGAGCAGGCGGAGCCGCGGAGGATGCCGGCTGGTGGGGGAGGCGGGGAAAGCTGGAACGGGACAGCAGCGGCCGCACACTCTGCCGATGGCCTAACCCGCCGGATGTGCGCTCAGGAAGCTGAGGTGTCCAAACAAAGGCTCAGGACTCCGCTGGCCTGGCTCCGGGGACAGGCCATGCGGCGGCGGAGCGGGGTGCCTGCGGCCCCAGCCTGCTCCGGCGCCACCAGTGGACAGAGCGACCCAGCTTCTCCCAAGGGCGTCCCCGCCTGTGGCTCCGCCCCCACCGGGGCTCCGGAGGAGGGCGGGGCAGGGGAGGGGCATGAGGGGGAGGGGCATGAGGGGGAGGGGCAGTGAGGGCCTGTTTCCCCGGTGAGCGCTGACCGCTGTTCGGGCTGGGCCTCCGGGCACACACAGCACTGCCCCACGCCCCCCCAGGGGAGACGCCCCCTCGACCGCAGGCGGGCCGTTCAGGAGGCAGAGGAGGCAGGTGGGCACCGTCCACTCCCCTGTGCTCACTCCCCGGTGCTCGGAGGAGACCTCACGCTGGCACACAGGAACCCTGGTGGCGGTCACGGCCATGCCGGCCGCACAGCCGGGACCCCCGTTCCAGGAGCAGGGCGGCCTCCGGCTCCAGTGCTGCCGTGAGCGGGCTTGCCTGGAGCAAGCAGAGCCGGGGTGTCCCACGGAGGCACCCCGCCCGCGTGCCTGCCCTCCCGTGGCCCCACCCGCCCCCGTGGCTCGCCCCGTGGCCCGCCCGCCATGGCCCCACCCGCCCTCCGTGGCCTGCCCCGTGGCTCTCCCTCCGTGGCCCGCCCGCCGTGGCCTGGCTCACGCCCTCTGTTGCAGAGCCCGGCGGCTGTGCGGCAGGCGCTGAGCATGCAGAAGATCAGCTTCCCCCTGCGGGCCGGCGTCCGCGTGCTGGTGGGCCTCGGGCCGGACACACGTGAGTCGGGGCCGCAGGGAGGCGGGCGTGCGGCCTCCGACCTCCGACCGCCATTGCGAGGGGATGGGTGGTCGCTCAGGGCAGGGGCTCCGCTCCTCAGGGAGCTGTGGTTCTGAGGGCGTCACCCCCCCCCGCCCGGGTCTCCCATCAGGATGTCCTTCCCTTTGGGAGCGCTCAGAGCTGGGAGCGCTCAGAGCTGGGAGCGCGTGGCCGTGCGGTGGCCGTGGCCGCAGCGGGCGCTCCCAGCAGCACAGACGCGGTGGGTCCACGCACAGGGCCTGTCCCCCGTCCCAGGAGCGTCCCTCCTGCCTGGCCGGCTCCCGGGCCCGGCCCCCTGGCCCCGGACTCGTGCCCGGCCCCGGAGCTTCCCCGTCCGGCAGGCGGGCGCTGCCACGCTGACCCGTGCTCCCTGCAGGCGCTCGGCGGCCGGGCGGTGGCGGCGGCGCCTGGGTGGTGGCCGTGCTCCTGGTCCTCGGGCTGCTCCCCGTGGGAGGCCTCCTGCTCTACAAGTTCAAAAGGCAAGGCCCCGGGCCCTCCACATGCCCTCCCCCTCAGGACTCCTCCCCCCGGGCCCCTGCCTCCGGGCCCTCCACATGCCCTCCCCCTTAGGACTCCTTCCCCCTCAGGACTCCTCCCCCCGGGCCCCTCCCCGCGGGCCCCTCTCCCTGGGCCCCTCCACATGCCCTCCCTCCTCAGGACTCCTCCCCCGGGCCCCTCCCCCCGGGCCACTCCACATGCCCCCTCCCCCCAGGCTCCTCCACATGCCCTCCCTCCTCAGGCCCCCTCCCCCTCAGGCCCCCTCCCCCCCGGGCCCCTCCCCCCAGGCCCCTCCACATGCCCTCCCTCCTCAGGCCTCCTCCCCCCAGGCCCCCTCCCCCCAGACCCCCTCCTCCCCGGGCCCCTCCCCCCCGGCCCCTCCGCATGCCCTCCCTCCTCAGGACTCCTCCCCCTCAGGCCCCCTCCCCCCTCAGGACTCCTCCCCCCAGACCTCCTCCCTCCTCCCCGGGCCCCTCCCCCCCGGGCCCCTCCGCATGCCCTCCCTCCTCAGGCCCCCTCCCCCCGGATCCCTCCCCCCAGGCCCCCCCCTCCCGGGCCCCTCCCCCTGGACCCCTCCACATGCCCTCCCTCCTCAGGACTCCTCCCCCTCAGGTCCCCTCCACATGCCCTCCCCCCTCAGGCCCCCTCCCCCCAGGCCCCTCCCCCCTCAGGTCCCCTCCCCCCTCAGGCCCTCTCCCCCCTCAGGCCCCCTCCCTCCCAGGCCCCCTCCCCCCTCAGGGTCCCCTCCCCCCTCAGGCCCTCTCCCCCCTTAGGCCCCCTCCCTCCCAGGCCCCCTCCCCCCTCAGGCCCCCTTCCCCCCAGGCCCCCTCCCCCCTCAGGGTCCCCTCCTCCCTCAGGTCCCCTCCCCCCTCAGGCCCCCTTCCCCCCAGGCCCCCTCCCCCCTCAGGGTCGCCTCCTCCCTCAGGTCCCCTTCCCCCTCAGGTCCCCTTCCCTCTCAGGACCCCCCTTTGCAGGCCCCCCTTCTGCCCCCTCAGCAGGGCGAGGGCCAGACCTCGGGAGGGTGGGAGCGTGCAGGACCTGCCATGGCTGGGGGGGGCGTGGGGCACTCGCCGTCTGACCCCCTCAGGTCCCAGCACCCGCTCTGCCCCGCCCTCAGAGGGACCCGGCGGGGCCCTGTGGGGGGCCCTGTGGCGGGCGGCCGGGGCGGGGCCTGAGCCCTCTGCCCGCAGGAAGCGGCCGGACCGGACGGTGTACGCGCAGATGCACAACGCCAAGGAGCAGGAGATGGCCAGCCCACGGGGCCACGGCCAGGCCGGCCCCGGCCCCGTGCAGCCCGAGGAATTCATGGACGGCGACCTCCACCCGCCGACCCTAGGTGACCCCGTGGCCCCACCCCCCGAAACTCACCCACCCTCCCACGGCCCCCACGGCCCCGAAACCCTCCCACGGCCCCCACGGCCCCCCAAACCCTCCCACGGCCCCCACGCCCTCCCACGGCCCCCCACGGCCCCCACGGCCCCCACACCCTCCCACGGCCCCCACGCCCTCCCACAGCCCCCCACACCCTCCCACGGCCCCCCACACTCTCCCACACCCTCCCACGGCCCCCACGCCCTCCCACGGCCCCCCACACCCTCCCACGGCCCCCCACACTCTCCCACACCCTCCCACGGCCCCCACACCCTCCCACGGCCCCCACGGCCCCGAAACCCTCCCACGTCCTGCCACGGCCCCCACGGCCCCCCACACCCTCACACGGCCCCCACGCCCTCCCACGGCCCCCCACACTCTCCCACACCCTCCCACGGCCCCCACGCCCTCCCACGGCCCCCACGCCCTGCCACGGCCCCCACGGCCCCCCACACCCTCCCACGGCCCCCACACCCTCCCACGGCCCCCCACGGCCCCCATGGCCCCCAAACCCTCCCACGCCCTGCCACGGCCCCCCACGCCCTGCCACACCCTCCCGGCCCCCCACGCCCCCCCACGGCCCCCACGCCCTCTTAGCCCATAGGAGGCGGAGCTGGACTCCCAACAAAGCCAGTGCCCCCCCCCCCCCCACACACACACACACAGGCTGCAGCCAGGGCCCCCCCCCCCCCCCCCCCCCCCCGGCGGCTGCCGCCGTGACAGGCCGGCAGGGGCGGTGCTCTCGGGCCTCCCGCCAGGGCGGTGCTCAGAGGGCTCTGTTTCCCAGGGAACCACTCGGGCGTGGTCCTCAGCATCAACTCCCGCGAGATGCACAGCTACCTGGTGAGCTGATGGCCGCGGCGCCCGGAGCCCCTCTCCGCCGTCCCCGGGGCACGGCCCCCACGGCCGGCTGGTGCCGGCACAGGCATCGCCCAGAGCCCGCCGAGGAGCCGCCTCCGGCCGCCCCACGCAAGGCCCAGCGCCCCGCCTCGCTCAGGACACCCGGGGGCTGCTGGCCGCCGCCTCCTGGACCCCAGCCCACGGCCCCGCTGTCCACCGGCTCCGGCACGCCTCCCCCCGGACGCTGCGCCGGACCCTGGGACCCCCGCCCAGGCCTGACCTCTGGTGCCAGGCGGGTCCCCGGGGTGCCTGCCCGCCCTCTGGCACCGCAGACCACTCAGCCACGCTGCACATGGACACGGTCGTGCCCACCTGAGGCCGGGCCTCACCACGCCTCCTGCCGCCCCCTGGGGGCCCCCCCTAAACTGCAGGTGATGGGAAACACCTTTCCCAGAATGCCCAGGGCTGCTCCATGGCCTCCAGCACCCTTCCCCTGGGCCAGAGGGGAGGCCGGCCTTCCCCTGGGAGCCATGGGGCTGCAGCTCCGCAGCTGGCCACCAGGCGGCGCCCCCACAGGCGCCTCCTCCCACGCGGTGGGCCAGGCCCAGAGGCCCAAGCTGCTGCCGTGATTGCTTCAGGGGCCCACACGGAACCCGGGGACCAGAGGGTTAGGATCGGAGGGCAGGTGTGCCCCCCGTGGATGCAGACCCCAAGGCCAGGGGGGTGGTGACCTTCCCCAGGCCAGACCGCAGTTGAGGCAGAGCGCCTGGGAGCCAGCCCTCGGCCCCCGGGCCGTGCAGTCCGCTCACCGGAGCCAGAATCAGGGACGCTGCTGCCGCAGGGTCCGGTGCGAACACGTGGGGGCTGCTCCCCCTTGGCCTGAACCCGAATCAGTATCCCCCCTCCTCCACGCACTGACCCCTCCTCCCCCCAGGCCAGGGCCCTCTGGTGGCTTCTCCTGGGGACACCAGAGCCCGGGCTAGGGACCTGCTGGCTGGGTTGGGGAGAACAGCCCCCTGGAGCAGTGGGGGAACCTGCCAGTCCAGCGCCCTGTCACCATGGGGACTCGGAGACCACAGGGGGAAGAGGTCCCTGTGGGTCCCTCCCCTGGCCCTGCCCACCAGCAGACTCAGCCACGCTGCAGACTCAGCCCGAGGACGGGGGGGTAGGGGAGGCCTGGGGGGCACAGTCAGTTTCCAAAGACACTTAGGGAGCCCTGTGTCCACCCCACCCGCCTGGGAGAGCGGACACTGTCCAGGCCCAGGGTCAGGGGCGGCACTCAGCCCCTGCCCAGCTCACCAGTGCCTGCGGGTGACCCCCCGTGACCCTGAACCCCGCGATTCACTGCTGTTTGGGCAGGCCTGCCCCAGCTGCTGGTGGTTTCCTTGGGGTTGTCATTCCTTCTGCCTATGAGGAGTATCTGGGGCCCATGAACCCCGAAACGAAGTGGCACTGGCTTCCCTGTACTTTCCCACCCACAGCGTCCGGTCGCTACGTGGGTCCACGGCCCGTCTGGCTGCACGTTTGAGGGCGCACATGGGGCGCCCAGCCCCGCACAGGCTCCGGGGGAGGCGTGGCCTGCTGCAGCCACAGGGCAGCCCCCCGGGCTGTGCCCACACTGGTATATGCACACCACAGAGATGCGATCGGTTCTTTCTTATTTTTCCTTTTTAAAAACCAATAAACCACTTGTGATGCTTTTAACAAAGATGGATCTGCCTGACTGGCTCTGTTCCCAGCATCACCTAAGAGCGTGCGTGGGCCCGCGCTCATGGAGGGCCCCGCGCCCCGTGGCCATCACCGTGGGAGGACGGGAGCCGCGCCTGGCCCCCGGGAGGTTGCCATGACGTTAACCTTCTCGGCCCCTGGATCGGGACGTGTGGCAGAGCAGTGGCACCCGGCCAGCGCTCGAAGCTCCCCCCTCGCACGTGCTGCTCCTTCCCTCCGAGGACCCACAGGGCCCGGGCGCGGCCGCCAGCCCCATGAGCCCTGAGGCCCCGCCCCACGTGAGCCCTGTCCGTCACAGTCACCACCTCCACCTGCGCCCAGGCCTCCGGGACCCTGCGCCATGGAGGCAGACCAAGAGCACAGCCCTCCAGGGTCAGGGTCAGGGCTAGGGCTAGGGTCAGGGATAGGAATAGGGTCAGGGTTTGACCTGCATTAAGGTTAGGCTTAGGGTTTGACCTGCATTGGGTTAGGGTTGGGGTTTCACTGCATTAGGGTCAGGGTTGGACCTGCATTAAGGCTGGGGTTAGTGTTGGACCCGGGGCTGAGGGGTACTTCGGGGGAGTGCTCCCTCGGGGTGGGAGCTGCTGGGGCCATTGGCCTGTGGGGACCTACACCCGGTGGCCTCTCTCTGCTTGGGAACTGGTGTCGGCGAGCCCTCTCACTGGGAATTGTGGGCTCAGGAGACATGAGACCCAGGTGGGTCTTCTCTCTGAGCTAAGAGTCCCCACATACCACTTTCCCTCAGGGCCCAAGTCCCGGGTGCCTCTGCCCTCCTCTGTGTCCGAGGCCTGGGCCGGGGTTCCCTCTGCAAGAACGCAGGGGCTGTGGACAGCGATGTTTTTCTGTTTCCCCGTCCTTGTTATTGTCACCCAGCGACGCCTCCAGGTCAGCTCAGCTGGTGGAGCAGCCACCTCCCCGCCGCCGGGGGCCGGGGGCCGGGGGCCGGGGGCCGGGGCCGGGCAGGCCGGCACAGGAAGGCCTTTGCTGATGGCATCGCTGTCCTGCCCGGAGTCGCTGCTGTGACTCCGCAGAGCAGGTCTCACTCTGATCCGGGTCAGAGCAGCCTGCCCTGCGGAAGGTGCCCCGTCCTCCCCATCCCCGTTAGGGTGGCTGGCCGGCTCCTTTCCTTCCGGGCCTCTTCACCTCCCGTGGATCTGGGGGAGCACGAGGAGGCCTCGCCGTCCCCGCGCTGGGCGGGCTGGACGTGGGCTCTCCCGGTGCCTGTGGGCGTTGTGTGTCCGGGCAGCACCTGCCACATGGGTATGTGAGCGCTTTACGCCCATCCCGAGCCCTCACACGGAGCCTGGAGCTGTCGCTGTCCCTCTGGATGGGTGAGGAGTAAGCAAGCCGGCTCAAACCAGAGACCAGTGGCCTGGCCTCGTGTCCACACCTTCCTGCTGGGGGGAGGTGTGGCCGCCATGTCCGCTGTGGGGAGGCCGCAGAGCGGGAGGCGGTGGCCATGAAAACAGGCTGGTCATACTCACAGTTCCCACGTGGAGGGCATGCCACGCCGGCAACGCCAGGGCACACTGGGCCACGCTAGACCACGCCAGGGCACACTGGGCCACGCTAGACCACGCCAGGGCACACTGGGCCACGCTAGACCACGCCAGGGCACACTGGGCCACGCCGGGCCACATGGGGAAGAGTGGACCCAGCCGGGAGGCTGAGGGGGGCAAACCTGGGCAGAACAGTGTGGTGTGTGCACGGGGAGTGGGCCAACAGGCACCGGTCTGAGCAGTGTTGGGAGTGCTGGGTGCCCAGCCCCTGCCCTTGGCGGGGGGGAGGGAGGGGGTAGTGTCCGGGTGCGAGAGCCCGGGGAGCCCCGATGGGCAGGGCCCTGCCTGGCTGGCACGTGGAAGGTGCGCTGCGGCCAGCCCTCCACCTGCCCCGGGCCTGGCCGGCCTGGGAGGGACCCTGTCCAGGGCAGCCAAGCCCCCTCCCCTCCCCTCCCGCCCCCCTCGGTAAGTCGGAGGAAGCAGACGCGGGGCCGGGCTGGAAGATGGCTTTATTGACAGCACACGGCTGGGTCGCGCCACAGGCGCCCGTCTGGGGCCAGGGGAATAGGGCGGTCCCTCAGCAAGAGACCAAGTGAGGCGACTACAGAAGGGGCGAACGGGAACCCATGTTTCCAGGCGAGTTCCCCCGATAAACCTCTCGCCGTGAATTAAATACGTCGAGAACAGTGACACCTGTGTACAGGCATCTAACCGGCGGCCCGCGGCCCGTTAGGACCCCGCCCGGAGGGTCAGACACAGTGAGGAGGGCTCCATCCTGAGCGGGAGCCCCGTGAGGCCTGGCACCGGGGGCCGGTAAAGGCTGGTGTGGTCACTGCCCTCCCGGGAGCGAGTCCAGCGGGCGGAGCGTGGCAGGGAAAGCTGCTTTGGTCCGAGAACTGGGAGCGGCGAGGCTGGGGCCCGGGGAACCGCTCACAGGCACCCTGTGCCCAACCACATGCCCGTGGCCGGCGGCTCCGCTTCCCTCGTGGCGCCGGGCGGGTGTGGGGCACGGAGGGGCAGATTTCACAGTATAACGCAGCCCGCCAGACAGCGCGACGGCAGGGACAAGTAACAATAACAACAACAATAGACGCCCTTTAAAAATGTGCGCGATCGGGATCAAGTGTCCTGTACAAACTGTTAGAAAAGAGAAGGCAAGCTGTGCGTGTCGCTGCTGCTGAGCCCGTGGCAGGAGCGTCCCTGCGGGCCTGCTGGTGCGGTCAGTCCCCCCCCCCCCCCCCCGCTCCTGTCACGTGACCCGGTGCACGCGCCCGCTGTCCCCGGGCACCTGCGCACGTCTGTGCTGCCCGGGCACAGGCTGGGCTCCCGGCGGGCTGAAGCAGACTTGCCAGGAGCGCTCAGGGACAGGGAGGCGGCGCGTCAGCCACGTCGGGGCGGGGCTGGCTGTGCACCATGGTATCTGAGGTCACGGGGTCGCCCAGAGAGAGAGCTGGGAGAGGTGGGGGAGTCGGGCCAGGAGTCGGCATGTGGCACAGTCCCACCCCAGCTGAAGCCAGGGCCAGGCGGCACCCACCTGGCCCTCTGGGTAGAGGGGACGCGGCCTGCACCTGAGGGTCACTGTGCTCTGGGCACGGGGGTGAGAGTGAAACATCGTAAACGTGTCAGCGTGGGGTGGGGGGCGCTCTGAGGCTGACGGGGCCTCAGGTCCAGCAGGCAGGGCCAACCATGAGGGCAGCCCCCACCCCCACCCCACCCCCTGCCCTCTCATGCTGTCAGGACCAGGGTCTGGCCGCACTTGGACCATGACCACCTGCGAAGGGCCTGCTGCTCCCAGGGCGCCGGTCTCCGCCCCGGATGGGAGCCGTGTCTGCTATGTACAGATATAAGTTAGGACTACACTCTGAACATGTACAAATAAATAACTACTGGCTCTGATCACATCCGGACACGGGAGCGCCCGTCCCCGCGGCTCCGCAGACCCCAGCGGACAAGTCCCCCCCTTACAGGCTGTGGCTATGGAGTGGATTAACGCCCGGCTGTGTCAGCACCGCCCGTGGTGGCCAGGAGCCCGAAGGCTGGACCGGCCATGCTCAGGCCAAGGTGCTGCCACCGCCAGTGCGGGCAGGGACGTGGTGCCGGCCCCCCGGTGTGTCGGACCTGGCGGCGCTCTTGGGCAAGGCGGCTGCCCAGCCCAGAGACCACGTGAGGTCACGCTTGGCTGGAAGCCTCTGGACCCGTGGGCGCAAGGCAACGAGAGATCGAGCATGCCCTCGGGAAGTGAGCTGCGTGCGGGCCCACAGCGGGCCAGGCCCTCCCGGGGTCACTGATGAGTGCAGGGGGTGAGCGTCCCGCCATCCTGTGAGTGCGGAGGCCGCGGGGCAGGCCGACCGCCTCACACACGTCCTGTGCGGGAGCTCAGGCTCCGGTGGAGCCAGGCATGCAGCTCCCAGCTGCTCACACGCCCGGCCTGGAGCACCGCGGGGCCCAGGCACCACGGGGCCTGGTGCCCAGCGCTGAGGCCTGGGACGGGGGCCTGTGCGGCTGTGTGGGGCCGGCTCTGTCCCCGGGCCCCAGCGGGTCGCCCAGGGACTCCACGGAGGCAGCCGGCAGTGAGGAGGCCCTACGAGGCCACGGGCCCGGGAGGGGGGAGCCCAGATCCCCGGACGCGGCCGTATCTTAGATTTGCAAACGGGGGGCAGGGGGAGTCGGGCGGCTAGGAGCTCTGTCCGTGGCTCTAGACCCGCCACTTCCAGCCACCCCGCCAGCGACATCAGGGAGAGAGGACAGCCGTGCGCCCGCCAGGCTGCCAGCTCTCCATGGCCGCCCATGGGGGAGGGAGGGGGGAAGAGGGGCGGGGAGGGTGGGGGGAGGGTACCGGAAGGAGGACACAGGGCGAAGCATCCCAAACCCTCGCAGCCTTTCCAAAGCAGTGACGCCCCCCACTGGGAGGGGCCTCCGGGAGCCCGGGGCGAAGTGATCACAGAGGATGTGAGCGGCCAGAAAGCCGTCCAGCCCGAAGCTGCTGCCCGCAGCTCAGGGAGCGCCTCCGGCAGCCCTCAGCCTCGCCTTCCACGGGGGGGGGGGGGGGGGGAGGGCTGGCAGGGGGAGGGGACACAGACAAGTGCACGTGGCCCTTGGGGGCCACAGACCCCTGGTGGCGGCGCTGGCAGGGGGGCTGTGGCCCTGCGAGGACGGTCTTCCGTGGCCTCCCCCTGCCGCCCTGAACAAACCACGTGGGGGCGGCGGCCAGCGCAGCTTCACGGGCGGCGGCGCACAGTGGAACCGCGGCCGGGCTCGGCGGGCTGCTCGCCGCGGCCTCTCGTGACGTCCGTGTCTAGGTCCCGTTCTTCAGCTCCCACTCCTGCCGGGAAGCGAGCCAGAGTGACGCACCCGCACGGGGTGGGCGCGCGTGCAGACGGGATGCCGCACGCCCGGAAGCGGTCCGCGTGGGTCCCCCCAGGGCCGAGGGCGCAGCGAGGACAAGGAGGCCGCCACGGGCATGGCCCCGAGCATGACCGCCCCCCCCCCCCCCCCGGCCTCGGCCCCTCCGCACCCGGACAGGCGGCGTGGGGGACCGGAGAGCACGTGGCGCCCAGCGGCGGCTGTGGGGGGCGGGGGGGGGGGGCTGACCTTGGCCTTGCGGAGCACGTGCCCCCGGCAGGGAGAGCTGCGTGCCGGCTGGCTCTTCCTCAGGGCGGCGGCGCTGTTCACGGGCACCGGGCCCTCGGCGTCGCTGGTCTCGCAGCTGGACAGCGGCGAGTTCTCCAGAGTCCGCGGCCGGAGCACTGGCGACTGAGAGAGGCGTGTGAGGCGGCCTCGCTGCGTCCAGCAGGGGCAGGAAGGGCGGGGTGTGGGATGTGACAGCCATCAGGGCGCCCGTAAGGGTGTGCGTGGGTGCTCAAGGGGGTGTGTGGGTGCTCAGGGGGGGTGTGGGTGCTCAGGGGGGCGTGCGTGTTGCTCAGGGCAGTACGTGGGTGCTCAGGGCCGTGTGTGGATGCTCAGGGGGGTGTGCGGGTGCTCGGGGGTGTGTGGGTGCTCGGGAGTGTGTGTGGGTGCTCGGGGGTGTGTGTGGGTGCTCAGGGGGGCGTGCATGTTGCTCAGGGCCGTGCGAGGGTGCTCGGGGCCGTGTGTGGGGCTCGGGGCCGTGTGTGGTGCGTGAGGGGCTGTGTGTGGGGCTCGGGGCCGTGTGTGGTGCGTGAGGGGCTGTGTGTGGGGCTCGGGGCCGTGTGTGGTGCGTGAGGGGCTGTGTGTGGGGCTCGGGGCCGTGTGTGGTGCGTGAGGGGCTGTGTGTGGGGCTCGGGGCTGTGTGTGGGGCTCGGGGCCGTGTGTGGTGCGTGAGGGGCTGTGTGTGGGGCTCGGGGCCGTGTGTGGTGCGTGAGGGGCTGTGTGTGGGGCTCGGGGCTGTGTGTGGGGCTCGGGGCCGTGTGTGGTGCGTGAGGGGCTGTGTGTGGGGCTCGGGGCCGTGCGTGGGTAATCAGGGCCGTGTGTGGGGCTTGGGGCTGTGTGGGTGCTCGGGGCCGTGTGGGTGCTCGGGGCGCGGGACCGCACCTGTGGACTCGAGGTCCCCGCGCGGGGCTCGATGGCCAGCCCCAGGGTGATGCCGCCGGCCAGGGCCTTGCGGAGGCTCTGGGTGACCTCGGTGAGCTCCAGCTCCAGGCTGACCCGCTCCGCCTCCTTCCGCCGGCACTCCTCCTCCAGGGCCGTCAGCTTCTCCTCCAGGGCCAGCTGCGCCTTCCTGCCTGGGAGCCAGACCCTGAGGCCCCGGGACCCTCACCGGCCCGCTCCCTCCCGGGGCTGCGGCGGGAGAGCGGCGGGAGCCGGCGCCTCACTGCTCACGTCACGTGGACCCTCACTGCTCACGTCACGTGGACCCTCACTGCTCACGTCACGTGGACCCTCACTGCTCACGTCACGTGGACCCTCACTGCTCACGTCACGTGGACCCTCACTGCTCACGTCACGTGGACCCGGAGCTGCAGGCTTCCCCGACTGTTCTGATTCCCTGCCACCGCCTCCCGACCCTCCGGCCCTCCGTCCCACACGCTCCCTCCTCCACAGAGCACATGTGCCTCGTGTGACTGACAGGTGGGCAGTGACACGGGACAGCTAAGGGAGCCGGGGTAACCTGGCTATGCAGCCTGGTCTGGTGCCAGCACGTGGGCTCTTCTCTGAGGCCGGAAGCTGCTCTAACCTCTGCGTCGGCACCTCCCTCCCCCCAGCCTCTGGCTGGCATTGCACTCCGCGCAGCCGCACCTGCCCAGTCCAGCCAGCACCAGCTCGTGCAACTCACGGAGGCAGCCAGGAAAGGCCAGATCCCTGTGCCCGCAACCCCTTCACCCGACACACACACACACACACACACACACACCCCACACACAGACCCACACACACACACACACACACACACACACACTGAGCAGGCGTCTCCTGGGCCTCCTTGGCTCTCTACTCCTCCCCCCTCCCCCTTCCATGCTGGGCCAGCCACACAGAGACAGGGGTCAGAGCTGCCCAGGGGAGAGCAGCCTGGAGCTGAGGCCTGTGTGTCTGCAGTCCGTCCCTCACCAGGCCCCGTGCCCACTTCTGCCCACGCACAAGCCACCTGGCCCAGCACCATGCTCCTTCGGACTGCCTTTACTTAGCTGCGCTCTGTAGCTCCCTCCTCCCCCGCCCCTGCCCCCGCCCCAGCCGCACTCGACCCGGCCTCACCCCCTCCCTTCCAATAGCTCACCCTGCCCTGCCCTTAGCGGGCCCTGCTCTGGGTGCTGTCCCTTCCCGCATGTCTCGGACCCCCGCACCCGTCCCCCTGCCTGTCCCGGACTCCCGCACCCGCCCCCTGCCTGTCCCGGACTCCCGCACCCGGCACCCGTCCCCCTGCCTGTCCCGGGCTTCCATCCCCCTGCCTGTCCCGGGCTCCCGCACCCGCCCCCTGCCTGTCCCGGACTCCCGCCCCCGCCCCCTGCCTGTCCCGGACTCCCGCACCTGGCACCCGTCCCCCTGCCTGTCCCGGGCTTCCATCCCCCTGCCTGTCCCAGGCTCCCGCACCTGCCCCCTGCCTGTCCCGGGCTCCCGCACCTGGCACCCGTCCCCCTGCCTGTCCCGGGCTCCCGCACCTGCCCCCTGCCTGTCCCGGGCTCCCGCACCTGGCACCCGTCCCCCTGCCTGTCCCGGACTCCCGCACCCGTCCCCCTGCCTGTCCCGGACTCCCGCACCTGCCCACTGCCTGTCCCGGACTCCCGCACCCGCCCCCTGCCTGTCCCGGACTCCCGCACCCGTCCCCCTGCCTGTCCCGGGCTCCCACGCCCGCCCCCTGCCTGTCCCGGACTCCCGCTCCCGTCCCCCTGCCTGTCCCGGCTCCTGCCCCCGCCCCCTGCCTGTCCCGGACTCCCGCACCGGCACCCGCCCCCTGCCTGTCCCGGGCTCCCGCACCGGCACCCGCCCCCTGCCTGTCCCGGACTCCCACACCCGCCCCTGCCTGTCCCGGGCTCCCGCACCGGCACCCGCCCCGGTAACTGGCAAGGCTTCCGGACCCCGGGAAGCGGTGTGGGCCGCGCGTGAATCTGGCCGCGGGCCGAGGGGAGGGGAGGCTGCACAGACAGGAACCAGACCCTCCCAGAGGGCGCCTCCTACCAGCGTTGGCCTCGATGGCAGCCCGCAGGTCCCCCCTCTCCTTCCGGAGCTGGGCCAGCCTGGTCCGCAGGGCTTCCTTCCGCCGCAGCAGCCCCTCCTCCTGGCTCTGCAGCCGCCGGGCGTCCGCCTCCACCCTGTTCTTGCCGTACCTGTACTGGTCAGCGTCTGAGACACGCAGGAAAGCGTTAGCCTGCAGACAGAGGCGCTGCCCAGAGCCGCCCGCCCTGTGCCCGCCTCGCTGGGTGAGTCAGAGCTGCCTCCGGGAACTCCGCAGGAGAGAGCGGGCGGGCAGAGCCAGCTGATTACCCAGAATTCTCAGGAACCATGTTCTACATGAAAACAGGATCAAGAAATCCTCTAATCTCTTCCCTGCAGGCCGCACCTCGCCCGCAGTGCACATCCCGCTGCCGCAGCGAGGAGGCCTGGGCCTCACACGCAGTCCTGGCTGTGGCTAGTTCCCCGTGATTCCCGCTTCTTCCCCAGCCCGTCCAGCGCTCTGCCGACCCAGCGGCAGCTACGTGCCCTGCACCAGGCGCACCAGCACGCACCGTCGGTGGGTGAACAAACGGACCATGAGAAAGGGAAGCGGAGCCCAGGGTGGGTGTGGAGCTGCCTGTCAGGCCTCAATCCCAGCGTGGCGGGCGGGGGGAAGGGGATGGGCTGCAGGCCCACCTCTCCTCGGGCCCCCAGCCCCTCCACAGCTGCAGAGGCGCCCGCGGCCACGGCCACGGCCACGGACGGGGACGGGCACTCACTGGAAGGCGTGCGCCTCACGCCGGCGGCCGGCTCGGCCCTCCTGGGCTGGCCGCTCGGGGGCTTGCCTCTGCCCGCGGCCCCGCTGGCGGCGAGTGGGGGCTTTCTGCTCTTCAGCTGTGGACACAGAGAGAAGACACTCAACCAACAGCTGAGGCACCGGTGCTGGTCTGGGGGCGGTTCCCTCTGCGCCCGCCGGCAGCACCCGGCACCCACGGCAGCTCTCAGGGAGGCAGGAGACACCTCGGCTCCCAAACCCTGGGGTCTCCAGCGTGAGGGGCGCAGGACGCCCTCGGCAGCAAAGCAGCCGCGACATGTGCGCTGAGAGCTGCGATGGGGTGGGGGGTAGTCGGTGGGGGGGAGCGGGCAGCAGCTCTGGGGGCCTGTGCTTGGACCAGGGGCGGGCTCCTTCGGGGGCAGGGTCTCAGGAAGGAACCACAGGTGCTGAATTCCCAGCCCCGCCACTTCCTGGCAGCTGGGCCAGCCCGTGGATGTGCTCAGCGGCGGACAGTCCTGTGTGCAGGAGTGCAGCTGGCGGGAGGTGAGCTGGGTGTCTAGGCCCACACCCCGTGGTCACGCCCACCCTACGCCGTGGGCGGGGCCTAAATTCGGCTCTGTCGTCAGCTCTGAGTGAGCCACGATCCCTGAGCCCCCACTTAGTGACCACCATAATCCACGAGGCCAGAGCCACTGGCTCCCGAGTCTGACCTTCAGGCTCACGGGACAGACTCTGAGCAACTGTCATCAAAAATCAGAAGCAGCCGAAACCGGTTTGGCTCAGCGGTAGAGCATCGGTCTGCGGACTGAAAGGTCCCGGGTTCGATTCCGGTCAGGGGCATGTACGTTGGTTGCGGGCACATCCCCGGTAGGGGGTGTGCAAGAGGCAGCTGGTCGATGTTTCTCTCTCATTGACGTTTCTAGCTCTCTATCTCTCTCCCTTCCTCTCTGTAAAAAATCAGTAAAATATATTAAAAAAAAAAAAAAAAAGGAAAAGAAATCAGAAGCAAACAGCTGGCTGGTGTGGCTCAGTGGTTGAGTGCCGACCCATGAATCAAGAGATCACTGAATTGATTCGGGTCAGGGCACATGCCCAGGTTGTGGACTCGATCCCCAGTAGGGGGTATGCAGGGGCAGCCAATCAATATTTCTCCCTCCCTCTATCTTTCTCTCTGAAAATAATAAAAAGGTTTAAAAAAAAAAATCAGAAGCAAACGAAGCTGTGCTGTGCTGACGAGAGCCTCGGCTGGGAGGCTTCTGAGCGCCGCCTGATCTGAGATCCGGGCTTTCTGGCGCTCCTCACTCTGCAACAATCCCCACACGGGAGGAAGGCCGTCTCTCCTGTGCCACCTGCTCCAGGGAGCGCTCGCACACGGGCGCAGGGCTGGTGCCAGGGGTAAAAGTCTTAGGCCGAAAAGGCATGAAAACACACCAGTATTTGTAGCGAAATGCCACCGTTTGCCACAGAGCTGAGGTGGGACAGGCTATGACTATTGGTCACTGATAATCCCAAATCCTTATCCTCTCCTGGCTCTCACACCCGTTCGGGAAAGCACCGCAGCGTCCTGCCCGGGCCTGGCTTCCGTGTAAGGATCAGGGTCCGCCGGTGCTCACATTTGATGGAAACATTAACAAACGTGCAGCTCACAATCTTCCGCGGAGTCTCACCGTCCCTGTCCTTTCCTAAGCCTCTGCCTTAGGACACCCCGGACCCTGGGACACCCCGGACCGGAAAGAGCCAGGTGTGCAGGGAAAGCGGGGCCACAGCAGGGATGGGGCGGGAGGGGGGGTGAGTGGAGCCCACAGCAGGGACGGGAGGGGAGGTGGGTACCGGGGCAGCTCCCTGTCCACTGCTTTCCCAGGTGTCCCGCTTACTACGAGCGGGCACACGGCCAGGCGGGGCAGGAGGCTGCGGCCAGAGGGGGTCCAGAGGAGAGAAGTGATGCTGTACCTGGGAGCCGAGCCCGAGAGACGCCCTCCCCACAGAAGAGGTGTTAGTGACAGACGGGGCGGGAGGCAGCCCGCAGGCCGTGGGCTGCTTGTAATGGTTACAGGGCGGGGTGTCGGCAGGCGGCCTAGCAGCGCGCGCAAAGATTTCCGGCGGCGGCAAGTTATCGTACAGCGCCGCTCCTCCCGGGCCTCCGCCGTCCGGGTCCCACTGCAACACACACAGCGCGGTTAGTGCCTCAGCCACAAGCACACAGACATCAGTGCGGGACACAGGGTCAGTGCGGGACAGGCGTTAGCGGGGGCAGCGTCAGCGCCCACCCCGTGCCCGCGCCTGGGGAGCCCACACAGCTGCAGGGAGCTGACCGAGGGCGCTGCCTGCTGCTGGGCTGAAGGACGGCCTCTCCCCTCCCTGACCCGCCCGGTCACTGGCTTAGAAGTTTCTGTTCTGTCTGGTTAAGCAGAACAAAAAGGGTGGACTTGACATTTCTTTAGGTTTTGGGGCGTCCCCCAGATCCGAAAGCAGAGCCACGTGCTTGCAGGAAGGGACGGGGGGGGGGGGGGGGGGATGGGGGCGGGGATAGGGTGAGGAGGGGGGAGGGGATGGGGCGGGGATGGGGCGGGGATGGGACTGGGATGGGGTTCTTTACGGTGGTCACAGGTCTGGACCCTGTCTAGAGTGCGTCACAGACCCCGCCTCCCCCAGCTCTCACGGCACTGCAGGAAGCAGGGGAAACTGAGGCAGAGGCTCCAGGCACTGTCCGCCTGCCCCCTGCCCCCTCGCGGGGCTGACTAAATGGTCGCGACCAAAGCAGGCTTGCAAAGAAATCCCAGCGTCACAGGATTTTCCGAGGGGAAGTGACCGAATGGCTCTATTTTGACAAAAACCTTTCCCTTAAGGACTGAACTGCGGCGGGCGGGAGAGCAGGGACGTTGGCGGCACACTCGCCGGAGCCGCCGGCGCAGAGCCTTAGTTTTAAGATCTCGGTAGCAGCTCAGGCCCAGCAGGCGTGCTCCCTCCTCGCTGAGCGCGGCTATTTTGGTGATGCTGGGCCCGGCTCCGAGCTAAAAATAGGGGACGTGCAGATAAACGAGGGCGCACGTGTCCGGGCTGTTACAGGGTCTAGACTAGACTATCTTCCTAAAACACCAGGGCCTGAGTCACATGGAGACAGAAGCTCACGGAAGTTCCTGGTTAAAAGTGGGTGCGCTCCCCGTGTGCGTGGCGTCAGAGACCCGTCCTGAGACTCACTGAGGCCTGTGCTGGGCCCAGGGACCCCGATGGCTGAGCTACTGAGAATGAGCCATTTGGGGTCCGAAGTGCAAACTTCATAAAGAGAAGAGCTGCCCTCCCGAGGACGGCCTGGCCCCCAGGCCCAGCGCAGGGAGCCGGGCCGGGCAAGGCGCTGCCGGTGCCAGGGGACCGCGCGGGGACGGCCCAGCTCCTGCCCACAGGCCAGGACGAGGTTCCGCAGAGCCTCGGGCGCAGAGGGTGTGGGAGCCCTGAGCAGCCTGGTCCCTGCGGCCTGAGCCACCTCGACCAGAGCACGGGACAGGCTGGGGCGGGGGTGCCTGCGGCCCCCACCTCCTCATCTCACGCCTGTGGAAGGTGTGGCTGGGGAAGGGGAGGGCCTCGGAGGGAGGCTGAGAGTAGGCGTGGGTTTCCTGAGGCCGAGCTGGAGGTGCAGACTGCCCACCCGCTCCGGTGGTGCGGACAGGGCCCGGCGCTGTCAGCAGAGGACGGTGACTGCCCAGAGCACGGGCGGGAGAGCAGGCCACCTTAGAAACGGGTGCCTGGACCAGGCTTGGGACCCCGGTGCTCTGCAGGGCTGCCCGGGCGTTCCTGTGGGGGCGCACAGCCTCTCCATGGGGTGCCGGCTGCTGGCCGGGGGAAAGTGGCGGCGGGAATGGGAGGGAGGGACGGGCTGGACACGATGTTTCTCAGGTGGGACCGGACGTGGCTCCCCCTCGACCCCTCCCCCCGCCAGCCTCGGGCAGGACTCCAGCCAGTGGACCCTGCAGCCCCCTGGGGTGTCAGAGTCCCCCTCACAGCCTCACCCATGACACCGCGGACCCAGTATTCACCTCCATCTGGCTTGGACAGGCCCTGCCCGGCCCAGGCCCCACTGGCTCCCTCCCACCCCTTCCTCACCCACCAGCCTGGAGGCCCTTTGAGGGCAACGGCAGCATCTCATCCGCTTAGTGCTCAGCCACACAGAGCTGGACACAGAGGATGGGGGGAGGGGGGAGGTGACAGGGAGGGAGAGACGGGGAGGGAGGGGTGACAAGGGGCTGGAGGAGGAAGGGGGAGATACGTGAGAGGGACCGCCTGCTGGGCGGGTCCCAGCAGCCCCATGGGGGAGGGCTGAGGGAGAAGGGCCATGGCTCGCAAACTGAGTTTTAGTTGCTTACACAGACAGTCCTCGGGTTACGTCGGACTCTGTGTACGCCATTTCGTGATTACATGGCCATTTCCCTCCCTCCCTCCGCTGCCTTCCATGGTGCTTGCTCAGCTCGTGTATCCCCGGGAAATGACAGTCACCACATGTGCCTTACCGAGGCGTGTGCTCTAACGTGTTCTCCTCAGTGCCTAATCAATGACGGGACAGGGGACACTGAGGGAGAACCGGCCACGGGGTCGCCTGCCTGCGTGTCCACAGGCAGAGAGACGGACAGCTGGCCCGGACAGGACGGACGGCGGGGTGGAGCTCCGGCACGCCCTGCCCGCCCGGCCTGCACTCACCGCGCCGTTCACGCAGGGGGCGTCGTCGTAGTGCAGCGCCGTCCCGCTGGGGTGGGCGTAGCCGTTGGGGGTGCCCCCGAGGTAGGGGTTGGTGGAGACGACACGTCTGTTCATGAAGCTGAAAGACAGGACGTGAGGTGACTTGCCCGCCGGGCTCCGCCGTCAGAGGGTGTGGGAGCCTCGTGCGGGAGCCGCCGGAGCCACGGCCGCACGAACGCGAGGGCAGCACGCCTGCCTGGGAGGAACCCCCTGCGAGCACGCCCCTGGCGGGGGACGCCAACCGGCTGGCGGTTTTAAAGGACTTTGTTTCGCACGTTCTTTCCCCAAGAGCTCCCTTCCTGCGGTCCCGGAGGAAGGAGGAGAGAGGAGGCAGGAGGCAGCGGACCTGCCGGTGCTGGAGCAGGGCCAGCGCCCGCACAGGGGCCAGCCGGGCTCAGGGCTCAGGGCTGGGGGTCTGGGCCGGCGGCAGGAGGCTTTCCGAGGGAGCTGCTGCCCTCTGCTGGGGGCAGGCGGCTGTGCACGCCTCGCTGGGCCCAGCGCACTGACTCTGATTTATGAAACAGCTCCTCTTGCTTTTTCCTGACAAAGAACTGTATACGGCCTCTCTACACTTAGGGTATATGAAGTATGCCCAGGAGAGAGAACAGTTAAACATCTGAGTTTCCTGACTCGTTGATAAACACATATCTAAGGTCTTCTCAGTTAAAGGATGCGTTGGAGGCATCTGGGAAGGCACCGCGCACACGTTCTGTCACGAGGCAGTGACGGGCTGAGGGAAAAGGCGGGGCACGTGGATCTGCCGGGGTGGGCCCAGCACTGCCCCGGGCACAGTGCCAGGGAGGAGCGGGGACCGTGAGGGGCAGACCTGCACGGGAGAGACCGGGGGCACCGGACTCCGGGACGGGAGACTGACACGTCACACACACTCGGACGTCCGGCTGGAGGCGGCCTGTGCCTCACCCGCCGCCTCTCAGCGCCTGGGCCCACCCAGCCGGCAGCCCCAGAGGGCGGGCCGGCTCAGCACCGGTGTCTGCCGGCGGCGCCCCTTCTGCTTCAGTGAAAAGCAGGAGTGAGACTGAGGCACGTGCCACGTGCTGACCCCAAACACAGCCACTCACGGGGACACACCCCGTGGGAAACACTCTGACCGACACAGCTTCCTCCCCTCCCCACTGCCCGGCGCCCGGCCAGCCGTTGGCCGCTCACAGACCAGCCGCCCGCCGTGTCCGCCCCGCGCCCTGGCCTCACCAGAAGGTCTGCTTGGCCGTCTGGATGACGTTGGCCGACATCTCCACGTCGATGTAGTCGTAGTGCAGCGCGCCGGGGTCGGTGGAGGACCCCGTCTCCGCCAGCAGGACCCCGATCCACCGGCCCATGTCTTCCGAGGACGCCGCCTGCGGGGAGGGGGCGTGCCGCTCCGTTAGCGAAGAGCTGCCACGGCGCCGGGGAGGGCACAGAGCCCGCGCAGAGCCCGCGCAGACGGGCCGCATGGGACCTGAAGCCGATGCCAGTGAGCCGCGGAGCGCGGGGAGGGCTGCTGAGCCCGGGACTCGCTCTGCATGCAGCTGAGCCTGGAAGCGTAATGACGAGACCCAGGACGGGGAGGCGTGGGTCCCACAGTGCCTGCGCTATGGGGGGAGGGCACTGGGGTGCAGGGCGTGGAGCTGCGTCAGTGAAAGCTCCGCCAGGTGAAGCTGTTGACAGAGCTTTACCAACCTGACAGTGAAATCTGGTGGGCAAGCAGCGCCGCCTGCGCGGGCCCAGCGCCCAGGACGGCGGCTGGCATGCTCCCTGCGGGCATTCCCTTCCCTTCCCTTCAGCCGAGGCATCAGCATGTGCCCCTCCTGTGGCCGTGCTGGCGGAGGTGCCCCCGTGGCTCAGGCATCGGCTGCCTAGGTGCTGTTTTCAGGACGTTTACTAGTGAATGCTCCCAACTCTGAATCTGATCTTCTCCACGTGCAACCTGCACTACACCTCACGGTGCCCAACCCCGGGGCCCGCAAGGCCGAAGCGGGAGGAGGAAGTGGCGGCCGAGGCTGCTAACGGCCTTTCCTCCTCAGCGGTGGCTCCGGAAAGGCGGCCACGGGGTCGGCTGTGCACGGAGCCAGGGCTCCGGGAAACCCGGTCTCGGTGCCCACACACATGGCTCGCCGGCCACGGCATCGGCACACTCACTGCCTGGAGCCGCCACGGGCCCCGCAGGATGAGGGAGGACAGCGCCCTCTGGGGGCCGTCCCTGCGAGGCTGCTCTGCTGGAAACACTGAAGCAAGGCGCGGAGGGGGGCGACCAGGAGACGCCTGGGCCCAAGCTCACTGCAGGGCCAGCAGAAGCGGGGGCGCCGGTCCAGGACCCTCAGGAGGGGCTGCCCGAGGACAGCAGACGGACAGGGCAGAGGGAGAGGGAGGAAAGGGGGTGACACAGGGGCGCTGTCCCTCAGCGGGCGGGGAAGGCAGGCGTCCTACCTCCAGCACGGCCACCTCCTGCCCGTTGCGGAGCAGCCGGAAGGTCAGCGGGTGCCTGGAGTCCAGCCCCGGGATCACCTCGCAGCCTCGGAGGGGGATGGACACGAGGTGGGTCTTCAGGTCGGTCCTGTCCTTGTGCAGGATGAGCTTGTTGTCCTTGACCCTGCACCAGCGCTCCCGCCAGCGGTTGTTGGAGAGCACGTTCAGGTGGCCTGCGGCGACAGGGCAGCTCAGCCGCGGGCCACGCCCTCGCTCTGCCTCAGGAGGGGCCCCCGGGCAGGCACGCTCGCCGGGGGCTCAGAGGGCTCGGGCTCTGCGCCCGGGGGCTGTCTTACCGCAGGTGGGCACGTCCTCCTCGGCGGAGGAGGTCTGCTCGTCGGTGGATGGTTTTTTCTTCCCCAGACCGATGATCTTGGTGATTTTCTTCCCGGTGACTTTAGACACGGTGCCCTTGGCCTCCGGTTTGGAACCTTTTTTCCTCTTGACTGGCAAGAATAACGACAGCAAAAAGCATGTTATGTTATAGACCTGACACTGGAGAGACAGGAAGACACAGTGTGAGTCTCGGCCAATTTACTCTCCCTCCCCTCTTACTGATGGAGCGCCCGGCAGGCCGGCCTTCGGGGACCTGGCTTACACCGCCGGAGTGTGACTCAGTACGTTACCAACGAGCCACACCGGGCAACCCCTCCACGTGTGCTGGGCTCGCCGGGCAGCGAAGCTTCCCCAGGACTAGTGCCAAGACCAGTTCCCTGTACTTGATCGCGGCGGCACCAGCAGGTCAGCCGTGACTCACTGGAACGCGGTGCATTGGCGCGCCACGTGGGGTATCATTCGCCTTGAGCGCAGGGGCTTCAGTCACCCCGTGGCTCGGACGCAGGGGCTGGACCACTGCACGTGACCGAGGGGTAACACGGCGAGGACGAAGGGACCCTGATTGAGCCCTCAGCGCACAGAGTCCAGAGCGAGCCACAGAGCGGAAGGGAGGAGAGAAGGCCAAGTGCAGGTTAACCACTGGCTTCCTGCAGGAACCACCACTCAGTGAGCGTCTGCAATACACAAAGCATGGCGACAGGCACCAAGTGTCTGAACCAACATCGTCATTTCACAGTATGGAAGGCGGCTCTGCTGTGACAGGCCCAGCGGTGCTGGGTGGGTACACTCACTCCCACAGGGGCCTGGGAGAAGCTGGGCGTCGGCTGGCCCGGGCATCCGGGCAGGAGCCTGAGTGTACGCTGGTCTCCTCTCGGGCAAACCTCAGAGACGGGTTCCCACTGTGGTTACACACGTGGTCTTGGAGGACAGAGATGGCCTCCCACCGAGCAGCTCCAGGTCAGACAATTACTGACCACTGAGCGTCCGAGCAGGTCACATGGCAGAGCAGAGGCCGTGCCTCCGCCGTGAGCCTGTCCTGTCACTGCAGCGCCGAGACCTGGTCAGACCCAGGCTGGCGAGCTGTGTGGTTGCTGGGACGGCGCTGGCCTCCAGCCGCGGGCAGATGCTCACGGAGCCGTCCCGGTGCAGGCAGAGGCCGCGGGCTTCCAGGGAAAGATCCCTGCCCCACGGACCCTCCCAGCCCGCCCCCACGCTGGGAGGAAATCACATATCAGAAAGGGCTTGTCCTCAACTGGAGGAGCTTTCAGAAGTCAGTCAGAGAACAAACAACTCACTACACAGGGCAGGGGATGGGAACAGACTTCACCAGAGAGGATGCTGGATGGCCAACAAGCCCATTAGACTTGGTCAGCTGTGGTCACGGGCAGGTGCACGGTGAGGCCAGCTGCACAGCTGTCCAAACGGCCAAACACCAAGACTTCCACGGCTGGCGAGCGGGCACGTGGCCCAGCACCCTGCTCCCGGGTATTAGCCGGGAGAAAGGAAGACGCGTCTACAGCAGCTTCACTCCCAGGCGCCGAGCTGCCAGCAGCCAGCCCTCTCTGTGGGTGCGGGCGAGCCGGCCGTGCTGCATCCGTGCTGACCTCCTGCTCAGACCCTGAGCACCTGCACGCGGGGCTCCTCAAGGCTGAGGCTGAGCCAGGAAGCCATCCTGAAAGGGTCCGTGGTGGACTCCACGCACACGCATAGGACATGCCGGGGAGGACAGAACACGGACCCGCAGCTGCCGGGAGCGGGGGTGGGGACAGGAACACCGGGGCCAAAACTGTCCCATGTCTCCCCTGTGCGGACGGTGGCCCACCACTAAGTGTTGGTCCAAACACAAAGCACTGTATGCCAACGAGGGTGCCGCTCACCGCGCTGACGCACCCGCCACGGGCGGGCTTCAGCCTGTCCCCAGGCTCACACCGTATGGCCCCCAGCAGCCAGGGGGGACACAGACATCCCTCCCCAGTTGACTGACGGCAGAATGTGGTCTGCAGCACAGGACTGTCGCTCAGCCTCAGAGAGGAAGGGTTGGGATTCTGGTTTCTGCTTCGGGCAGACTCACCTTGCTCTTTCCCGTTGCACATGGTGACTCCGTTCTCCGGGACGCCCTCCCCGTCCGAGCTCGGCCTCTCCGAGGACAGCTTCTGTGAGGAAGACCAGATATTGGTCACGGTGACCAAGTGATGTCACGGATCGATGGAAAGTTCTCAAAGCGGAAGGACGTGGGCCAAACGCCCAGCCGTCCAGGACAGCAAGGGCTCAGTGGACGCTGTGCCTGTTATCTGAAGCTTGAAAGACACCAAAAGAGCGAAGAAAAAAGACAAGGTAACCAGCACACGCCACAGTGCCTGACACTCCCTCACTCACCCTCTCACTGCGATTAAAAAACATCAGGGCCACAGGAAACCCCCCTCGCCAAGCCACACCGCTTCCACAAACACTGCGTCGCCCGTTTAATTTCCTCCCGTGAATAACGGGCCAGTGTCGAGTCTGTTTGTGACAAGTATGTTCAGAGGATGCGCACAGTCAGGCTGCCGTCAGACCCTCACGGGCACCGGGCACTTGCCCGGCGGGTCCGGCACCTGCAGCCGGGCAGCCAGGACCGTCACCTGGTGTGTGAAGCAGAGCCACATGGGGGAGGCGGGAGATGGTGATGGGAGGAGACTGAACTCTGGGTGGTGAGCACACAATTTGATATACAATTGTTCACCTGGAACCTACATAACTGTATTAACCAATGTCACTCCAATAAATTCAATAAAAATGCTTTTTGAAAAGCAGCAGCATTGCTGAGAGCTGGAATCCGTCATCCCAACTGGAGAAGTTGTGCAGGCACAGTGGAGGGCACAGGCTCCAACCCTCCCAGATGCCCTGCATGGTCCCCCATGCCACAAGGACTGCCCCCCATGCCACAGGGAGTGCCGCCCCCGGCGGATGCTGGGACACGGGCACGCACACCTCAGGAGGGGGCCGGGCTGCTGGCCGAGGATGGCAGGCGGTGTCTGCATCGTGTCGCGGTGCGGGCCAGCGCAGGAAGGAGCCAGAGGCATCCCGTGGGAACCTGGTGCATGCCGACCCCCAGTGACAGAGGATGAGAGCGGTGCTCCCAGCTCTCGGGCGGGAAGTGCTCCTGAGAACCAGGTCAGCAGGTCTAGGCGGGCACAGCACAGCCTCAGAAACCGCGCTAAGTGCAGGGTGCCACCGGCCCCGTGGGAGTGGGCGGGAGAGAAACCCTGATGCCCAGCTGCTGGGAAGTGAAACCGGACCAGCCTTTCAGGATAGCTATTTGCTTAGCAACATGAGACAAATCTTAACACACACTCCTCCCCGGTGGTCTGGTGACCTACTTTCTAGGGGTCTCTTTTCAGGCAACAGAGAAGCAGCAAAGACTTATAAGAGATGCCAGGTGATTTTACATGCCAAAAAATAAGGAGCTATATTTGAAAGGGGGAGGAGTAATATGATAGTAGAGTCATATGATCTCATATTATTCAGCTGCTAAAAGTGCAAAAACGGTTGTTGCTTGTTATTAGTTTTCAAAAGCCTGGAATATTGATAATAATATAAAGGTAAGAAGAAAAAAAAGGGGCAGCATACTATTTTTATACAACAGAATATCTAAACCATAATAGAAACCCACGGGCAAGAAAAAGTGGTTAAAATGCTGGAGAGCTGCATCCTCCATGTGGTGGGTTCCTGGTGATCTCATTCCGGCTATTTGTGTTTCTCTGAACTTCTTGAACTTTCCATAGCAAGCAGGTATTCGTTCGTGATAAGAACAGGAAAGAGAGAGAGAAAGAGAGGCCTGCAGTGTCAGGATGAGGGCTGTGACAGGGTTAATTTTCTGTGTCAACTTGGAGGGTGATTTTGGATGAGACTAATTTTTTGTTGTTATTGTTAATCCTCATTCCAGAGTATTTTTTCCCATTAATTTTAAAGCGAGTGGAAGGGAGGGAGGATGAGGAAGAGAAATAGAGAATCTTGATATGAGACAGACACATCAATTGGTTGCCCTCTGGATGCATCCCAACAGGTCCAACAGGGATTAAATCTGCAACCCAGGTATGTGCCCTTGACTGGGATTCAAACCCATGACCCGTCCGTGTGCAGGCCAACACTAACCACGGAGCTTAACAGCCAGGTAACATTTAAATCAGTGAACTCTGAGTAAAGCAGACGGTGCTCCCTCAGTGGTGGGCCTCACCCCGTCGGCTGAAGGCCTGCATCCCATTCCCAGGCCAGTCTCCTGAGCCGGGGAGACTTCTGCAGAAGGCCTTCAGACGTCACCTGCTGGCCTACACTGCAGACTCGGAACTTGCCATCCTCCATCATCACCTGAGCCAATTCCTTATGATAAATCTTTCACATAAAAAAATTCCTTATGTAGCCGGAACCGGTTTGGCTCAGTGGTAGAGCGTCGGTCTGTGGACTGAAAGGTCCCGGGTTCGATTCCGGTCAAGGGCATGTACCTTGGTTGCGGGCACATCCCCGGTAGGGGGTGTGCAAGAGGCAGCTGGTTGATGTTTCTCTCTCATCGACGTTTCTAGCTCTCTATCTCTCTCCCTTCCTCTCTGTAAAAAATCAATGAAATATATTTTTAAAAAAATTCCTTATGTAAATCATATATAAACACACACACACACACACGCACATATACATATACCTAAGTACATACACGTACATGCACACACACACCATTAGTTGTTTCTCCAGAGAACCTTGACCCAATCAGAAGGGACAGAAGGATCTGTTCACAGGCAGGGGCTGAGCAGGGAGGCCTCAGAGAGCTCCTGGGACACAGCAGCCGCAGGACCTGCGTACGGACAGCCCGGGGTCTCCAGGGAGAGGAGATGTAATCAGACCAAGCTGGGTGTGTGGGATGACAGCGACAGCTTCACGTATGACAAGAAGGGCTGGCCCTGCCCTCCTGCGGGGCCGTCACTGGCGCTTCTACAAGGAACATGGGCACAGCAGCGGGCACAGGGAACGCAGCCTGGCTTGCGAGGATACAGCGTGGGGAGGGTGGTCGGGCAGTGCGGGCTGTATCCCGGGATACACAGACCTGAGCTCAGATTCCACGCTGCCAGGGGATAGCCAGGACCTTGAGCAAGGCCCTGACACCTCCGCCCACTTCTCACCTGCAGGTGGGAATGGGACAGCCGACCACACAGCCGTAAACGGACAGCTGAAGCCCGGCCGTGGGCGCCGGAATGCACGGAAGCGGGACGGTTCCCAGCTGGCCGTGCAGGATGCTCCGGGACGGAAAGAGCCTCTGGGGGGGCCCACTCCCCCGAGGAAGCACGCGCCTTACCTTCTCCAGCTCTGCCTTGTGCACCGGGGAGCCTGGCGGCGGGGGACACTCGGCGTCCGCGGGCCCGCTGCCGCCGCTGTACACCTCGCGGATCACCTGCAACGAGCGGGGCGCTGGTGAGGCCCCGAAGACAGGCGCTCCCCGGGGAGCCCGGGAGGAGCAGAGCAGGCGCGCGGAGGAGCCCGCAGGTCCCAGCCTGGGCTTCCCTTCCGGCCGCCGGGCCACGGTCTGTCCCTTCAGTCGCCCCTCTCGGCTGTCTCCCCACCCTGGTGCTGCCCTAGGCCCTGGGCCACAAGCGAACAGGTATGGAGGGCTCTGCTCTCACGGGGCTCCCGTTCGAGGAAGCGTGAGGTGCCGTCGTGAACACGGAGCGTCACCAGGAAACGCAGGCAATGGGACAGCGAAGAACAACATGGCCGTCAGCCGCAGGTGTGGCTGACTTAGAGCAAGAGGCACAGAGAGGCCTTGCTGGGGGGAAACTGAGCTGCATCCCCGTCCTCTCCGCCCCGCCCCCAGGGCCCCCCATGGTTGCCACGGTCCCCTCTGACCCGCCTCAGCAGCCCCGGGGCAGGTCGGGGGAGAGCAGTAAATGAGACAAGTCCTGGGTCAGCGGCTCACGTTCTTCCCACAGAAGAGTGACCAGGCGGGTCTTTCAAAATGTCTCCCTTCTTTTTGGAACTAAGCTGCCATTTGAGTTCCACCCAAGCGCCTCCTGACAGAACGGCCACGCCCAAATCCGAGAGCCCAGCTCGGCTCTGCAGCTTGACCTCAGCAGCGCCCGCTCCCCGCCCGCTCCCCGGCCCGCGCTGTTGGGACCGCAGCCAGGGGCGCACAGGCCGGGACGCGCGGCCAGCCATGTTGCTGCTCAGCTGTTCTAGGAGAAAAAGAAGAAAGAAGAAAAACAAGAAAGAAGAAATGTCCACATCCGAGCCCAGAGCAGGAGGAAGGGAAAGCAGCGGCCTGCGAGCCTGCGTGTTCCTGTCCCTGGAAGCTGGGAGGGACGGCCGGCCCTGGAGCGCCTGCCCCGCGTCTCCCCGGGAAACAGGCACTCCGCTTCTCTCTCTCAGTCTCCCCCCCCCCCCCCCCCTCTCTCGCTGACGTCACAACTCTTTGGTTTCCTCACCTCCCCGGGTGCCCCCCAAGTCTTCAGTTCAGAGCAAAGTTTCATTTGATCTGAAAACAGGCTTTTGTCTTTTCTCCGGGGAGCGCTGTTCAACCTTTCCATCTCAGGCACATGAGCGGATTCTGAGATTCTGCAGACCCGAAGGCAGGCTCTGTTTGCTGCCCCCTGACAAGAATTAGGTACAATTTTGGTTCATTCGGGCGGGACAGCCATTGCCGTGCTGGCTGCTGCCGTGTTCTCACGACCGTCTCCGGAAAGGCGGCTGCTCCGGGGAAAGACATGGGGGCCTCCTGGGCACTGGGCACAGACGGGGACCAAGCCCAGGCCTGCGGCTTCCTCCGGGGGGGCTGAGCAATCTCCCCTCAGGCCTCCCGCCCCCCTCCCCCCCGGAGGAGCGCAGACCAGATACAGCGCTGCAGGGCCACGGCGGGACCTGAGCTCCCCGTCAGCCTTAAATGCTGAGCGTGCGCAGTGAGACTGATCCGCGTGAGGGGAAACCGCAGAGACCTGGGAGAGAGCAGCCGCCCCTCCGCCGTGTCAGGGCGAGCCCACCCAGCCCGGCCGCCGGCCCCGCGTGCCCCTGCCGCCTCCTGTGCGGCCTGCGGGCGGGCATGACCCAGAGGACTGTGCCCTTTCTCTCAGCGAAGCAGGACCCGTCCTTCCAGACTCCCAGGAAGCCCGCCCTGCCCTCCCACGGGGGAACCCGGTCTGGCTGCTCTCCACGGGCCACACCGGCCACACGTCCTCTGTCAGACGTGGGCCGTGCGCGCGGCGTGTGCAGTCTGTCCTGCTGTACGCGGTGCCCATGCCACAGAGGGCTGAGCCTCCGCAGGCCGGTCTCCACACCTAGCTGGACAGCAGCTAAAGAAAGGTGACTGAGGAAAAGGGGGACGAGGAGGCAGACTGCACCCGGAACTCCCACGGAAACAGGAAGGAGCGAGAACAGAAGCAGAGAGGCCCGCCGTACGGTGACACGCCACCCAGCCCTCTGCCTGGGTTGGAAATCCTCAGGGAAAACGCTTTTTCAAAAGGGGGAAGGCCGGCAGCACAAATACAGCCCCCCAACCCCGCCTCCCCCCGGCTGTCCTGTCACTACAGTGTCACACTCGCCCCAGGTCACCTTCTGTCCCCTGGGTCTGCCTGCTTCCCACCAGGTCCCATTGGCTCTGGGAACCAAGGAATCCAAGAACACCGGATGAGGACACTCAGCCATTGAGTCACCTTTCCTGGTTCACCACACATCTGTGACCTCTCACCTCTGTGACCTCCACACCTGGGCCTCCCTCACTTCCTGCCGGAGCTCACCTCCTGCGAGCAGTGATTCAGGGCACCAGAGCCCAGACAGCCTGGGCCACAGCGGGTTATTCAGACATCCGGGGCCAGGATGATTCACCCTTCCCCAGACTAAGCCACAGCCATACCCCGGGCACAGGGAGAGCACCAGGAGCACCGCACACCTCCTGTTCCATGGGTCAGTGCTCCCCCTGTTCCACAAGCAGCGCTCCCCCCGTTCTACGGGTCAGCATTCCCCCTGTCCTACGGGTCAGCGCTCTCCTCTGTCCTAGGGCCGGCTTGTGGGAGCACAGCAGGTGTTCCGTGACACTGTCTCTCTGCTCTGAACCCACACAGTGCCCGCAGAGCTCATGAAGAAATTGTAAAGGGTGAGTTACACGTGAGGTGCTGGTGTTGCTGGTTCCTCGCACAGAGCCATGTCCTGGGAGAATCCAATATGTACCTAAAGAACTGAGTCCAAGTTCAGAATCACAAGCCCTTCCGGAACCAGACGGCGTTATGCTCTGGGCGTTCTGTTTGCTTTCGCGTGAGCCCTCCTCCCTGAAGCCCGGCCTCCGCACATTCTTCAGGAAACCTGACCGCCCGCTGCTGGGAGTGCTGCTCTGTTCTTGTTCTGACCGGCCCGCCCCAGAAAGGGCTCATGTTTTTGGCATCTGCACACACACACACACACACACACACACACTCACACTCACACATGCACGGGCATGTGTGCACACACTCATGTGCACGCACGCACACACGTGTACACATGCACATACGTGTGCACGCACACTCACACACATATGCATACACACACACACACACACATACACACACACACACACACACTCTCAGTGAGTCCTGGCAAGAGCTGCCGTAGTGGAAGACCAGACGGAGAGAAACACATGGCAGGACCTGGCAGCGTGCCGGGCCCGCCCTGGCTGCATCCTCATGCTCCCACACTGACCAGGTGTGCGCCTCACTCAGACACCGGTGGTTACGTTCAGGCCCCATTTCAAGGCCTGGAAGCCTCGGCAGTAAGTGGATGGCAATGCGGTCACCCAGCTACGTGGGTAAGGAAGGGCCACCGCCTGTATTTAAGAGCTCACACTGCATAAAGCTGTGAGAAGGGGACACAGGTGGAAACCTTTAGGACTTTGGGTTAAACAACAGTCTCTCAGCTTTGACAGAAAAAGCAATACAGCGGAATGGAATGCTGATACACGTGACAACGTGACTGAGCCCTGGAAACAACGCTAAGTGAAAAAGCCCGTCACGAGGGACAGAGTGTGTGTACACAGAGTGGGAGGCCGGCAGGCAGGGGTGAGGACAGCGGCGGGGTGGCCCGGGGCGGGGCGGGCGGGCAGTGACTGCTGCGGTGAGTGCGGGTTTGCTCCTTGGGGTGATGAAATGTTCTGAAACTAGATTATGGCCATGGTTGCACAACTGTGCCTGTCCTAAAAACAGTGAGTCACACTTTAACAGGCAAACTGTATGATGTACCTCAATGAAGCTGATGTACAAAATCACTGAAATAATGTTTTCCCCCCAAATACAGTGACCAGCATGAGCACCAGGTGACGGCACAAGCAGACGGGCAGGCGAACAGAGCTCGCACCGCGCAGCCAGGAGCGGGCCCACACCCTCCGCCAAGCCCAGCCCGGCGCCAGGCCCGCCGCGTGCTTGCTGAGGAGGTACAAGGCTCAGCAAACATTCCTGAAAGAAACAACTGGAAGCTCTAGAACTAAAAACGACCACAGCCGAAATGAAGAGCGCACTGAACAGGGCCGGATTTGACAGCAGAGTAGGCACAGCTGGAGAGAAACAGTGAGCTGGAAAGTGACAAGGAGAAGGTGACCAGACTAAGAATTTTGTTAAAAAGGGGACAGGAAATATACGACGACGGAGAATGCAGTGCAAAAGCCTCACAGATATTTAAGTGTTGTCAGGAGGAGAGGAGGAAATGGGGCAAAGCCATATTTGAAGAGAAATGGCTGAAATATTTCCTGAGCCATAGAGCGATGACAATCCAGATCTCAGACGCCTGAGGAACCCCAAGCAGAATAAACACAAAATAACCTGCATCCCGGACGCAATGCAGTGAAACCGGAACACCCAAGGGAGACGGAGCTAGAAGCAGCCTGCCGATGGGGCCAGCGTGTCCCTGAAGAGACACGTGACAGTGATTGACCTGAGTCATCAGAACACCCCACGACCAAGAACTGAACTGTGCAGGCCAGCCATGTCCGCGCTGCCTGAGAAAGCACAGACTGAAATAAGGCCCATCTCAGAGCAGCTGCCGAGGACCGGCTCAGAAGCTCATGTTTTTGGCATCTGTACACACATGCATGCACACACACACGGGCACACACTCATACACACATGCACACACCCATACACACATGCATGCACACTCGCACACTAATACACACATGCACATACTCACACACGTGCACACACTCACATACACGTGCACCCTCAACTTGCCTTCAGCCACTGCTCGGCCTGCTCCTGGCTCTGCACGGCGAGGACCAGGGGGTCGGTGCCCTGAGGGGTGATCTTCAGCTCGTGCTGCTTCTTCTTGCCGTCCTTGGGGATGTAGGCGACGCTGCAGCCGGGCAGGGGCAGCTCCATCTGCGGCTGCTGGTCCTTGGAGCTCTTGTAGCACTGCGGGACGGGAGACCACATCAGGGCCCGCAGGCAGGCAGGGGCGCCGACAGCACGTGGCAGAACGAAAAGGGGGGAGGGCACAGTGCCTGGAAGTCTCGCCAAATCGGGGTGCTAGCGACTGGAAAATGGACTGCAGCCTCCCCTGTCACCCCGCTCCACCCCCACGCGCGTCCCTGTGCACATGAAAATGCACCCTCCCATGTGCTCAGCAAAGTCTCCGCCATCACTGACATGGCCCGCAGCGGCCCAAGGGCTCTGTGCTGGTGGCTGGTGACCTATTGTGCTTCTGCAGGAGGCCCCGTGAACACTGTTAGGTTTGTTGACATGCACGGCCCTGCACTCTGTTCCACAGCCTGCCCTCGGCATCCCCCTGCCTTCTCTCTCCCCTCTCTCCGGAAGGCAGATGGGTGACCTCAGTAAGAGTACACACATCAGCGTCCGCACAGCGCGGCCTCTGGTGGAGAGAGGACCCGGCATCTGGGTCCCCCCTGTGACCATGGCGCTGGCTCTGGCGTTTGCCACATTTCCTGAGCCTGTTTCCTCGTGGGTAAAGGAGCGACCGTTGCTTCCTTGAGTTTATGAAATGGTTAGAATGACATCTGCTCCCAAGTAGCAAGGTGCACCTCCCCCTCACAGGCGCCTGTTCTGCAGTGAGTTAACCTGGTATAGGGCCCTCGTTAAGTAACCCGTAACTGGTTATGCAACTTGCCAATGTCAGGTGACTGAACACGCAGCCAACCCGGGATTCCAGCCCCAACCCTGAGTCCTACACTTGCCTCTAAGCTTGTGGTCGGCAAACTCATTAGTCAACAGAGCTAAATATCAACAGCACAGCAATTGAAATTTCGTTTGAGAGCCAAACTTTTGAAACTTAAACTTCTTCTAATGCCACTTCTTCAAAATAGACTCCCCCAGGCCAAAAACCGACTTCTGCGCATGGGCAGGAAGTTTCAATCGCACTGTACGTGTGCGCCTGCACGTGGTGTTTTGTGGAAGAGCCACACTTAGGGGCCAAAGAGCTGCATGTGGCTCTCGAGCCGCAGTTTGCCGACCACTGTTCTAAGCCATCTATTGAGGAGGAATGGGTACATGGAGGCCTATTTTCAGAGGTTATCATCTGCAGTTCCAGATGAACGACACGTGGATGGAATATACCCGCTTTTTAAAATGTCTCAAATGATGCTGCCTGTCTAAAAAGGAAGAACCGTCCTAGCCGGTGTGGCTCAGCGGACTGAAGGGTCCCAGGTTCAATTCCAGTCAAGGGCACATACCCAGGTTGTAGGGTCGATTCCCAATAGGGGGCGTGCCGGAGGCAGCTGATCAATGATTCTCTCTCATCACTGATGTTTGTATCTTTCTCTCCCTCTCCCTACCTTTCTGAAATCAATAGAAATATATTTTTTTAAAAAGCTAAATAAACAAATAAATAAAGGGAAGAACAAAACACACACCTAGGCCGGTGCACCTCAGACTGCTATAAAGGTCACGTGGCGGGGCTCTCCGCAGAGCCACTGGGAAGGGAGCATGACTCGGGACAAGCCCTCTGCCAGCTGCTGCAGCGTGGGAGCAGGGCCATGAGGCCTGGGGGCTCCGGGCAGAGGGCGCAGGCTCCATCAGGAAGGGCATAGACACTGGGCTCCGAACAGGAAGCCGGCCTCCTGTCAGGCCTCAGTTGCCGTGCTGCTCAGACGTGGAAAGCGTTTGCTTTGCTGTCGCTGCTCATCTTTTCTCTGTCAACAGGGTCATCGGGGCAGCTGGACCTCAGGCCGTTTGTGAACCCAAAAACCCCTTTATGATGGGAATCGCTGACAGTCTTTCCGCCGTTCCCCCCTCGTTTCTTCTGAGAGACTCACAGCAACTCTGAGCGGGGTGTATCTCCACCCCCTCCCCGCCCCCAGCTGTGAAGACGGGACTATGGGACTGAGGGCGGGAGATGGAGAACGAAGGGAAAGGGGGAGGCGTGCAGGCCGCCTGCAGCAGGGGTGCGGCGAGGCGGCACTCACACAGCCACCCTGAGCGGCAGGCTCCGCGCGGGCTCCGTCGGCGGCGTGTATTTGAAGGCACTGGAGTAATATACCCTCATCTTGCGCGACCATGTCAGATTGTAATAAGCATCATATTAATCTCCCTCTCCTTTTTTTCATTCTTTACTTGAAAATTCCCCCGTCACTTTTGGCATGTTCTAAATTTGGGAGCTTTTAGGCCACACACGTGGAAAAAACATGTACTCTCGCGGTGTTTTAGAAATAATTGAATAAAACTATTAACTAAAAAGTATTCCACGTCCTAAGAATCCAGTGAAGTATGATCCCCATAACTCACGGGTGAATCTATAAGAGCCTGCTGCCCACTGAAGAGTGACACACAGAATCACATGTTCTCTTTCAATGGCCGAGTTTTGAGTGATTTTCTCTCTCATGGTTCATTTGAAGGAAGAACAAAAAGCAAAAACACGCTCTGCACATCCTAATTCTAGGAATACAAGGTGCCCAAGGCTGGGGGAAGGTGGGAGCGGGGAGGGAGGGTGAGGGGCCGCCGTGACCGCACTGGCCTCCCGAGCAGCTCCTGCTGAGCGCCGCCCAGCAGAGCGTCTGTGTGTCCAGCCCTGCCTCTCCATCACTTACCCGCGCTTCCTACTGGGCCTCTCCTAAAAGGAATGACGGGGGGTGGGAGGGAGACAGAGAGAGAGAGAAAGAGAGAAAGAGAGAGAAGGAGAGAGAAAGAGAGCGAAAGAGAGAAAGAGGAAGGAAGGAAGGAAGGAAGGAAGGAAGGAAGGAAGGAAGGAAGGAAGGAAGCTGGCCCTTAGCTTTCCAAAATAATTTCCTGTGCTGGCCACGCTCCCTGGCCCGGCGCAGCCGCCCGGCCCTCTGACCTGGCTTTGAGGAATCCACTGACTCACTACAAAGGGGAGGATCCATCCCGCAACTTCTGGCCAGCTCAGCCTGTGCCCTCCCCTCACACACCGCAGACACTGCCCGGAGGGAGGGCTTGCCTGCTGCCTGCCTGAGGGAGGGGCGGAACCTCTGCATGGCACACGGCCTGTCTGCCAGCCACCAGCGAGGGCCCTGCGTGCTGCCCACCAGCGCTGAGGCCTGTGGGCCCCTCTCCCCTTGGCCGAGGCCAGCGCTGCTGCGCCTGTCAGCGGGGGCGCCTGCACACAGGCCGGCGGCGGGCTTACCAGCAGTTTGGTGTCTTTGATGACGCAGAGCAGCTTGGTCCACTGGCCGAAGCGCTTCTTGCGCAGCAGGAAGGCGCAGATCTTGGCGTCCTTCACCAGGTCCATGGAGGCCTCCTCCGAGGGCCACTGGTGGCGCGTCTTCTTCCCCTTGCCGTCCTCCTCCTCCTCGTCATAGGACTCGTAAGAGCTACTCATGGCATCCGAGTCGTAATCTGTCAACAGTGAGGGAGTGAGGCCTCGTCACAGAGGGCCTCCCGGGCTCAGGGTGCCTCCCGGGCTCAGGGTGCCTCCCGGGCTCAGGGGTGCCTCCCGGGCTTAGGGTGCCTCCCGGGCTCAGGAGTGCCTCCTGGGCTCAGGGTGCCTCCCGGGCTCAGGGGCGCCTCCCGGGCTCAGGGGTGCCTCCCGGGCTCAGGGGTGCCTCCAGGGCTCAGGGTGCCTCCCGGGCTCAGGGTGCCTCCCGGGCTCAGGGGTGCCTCCTGGGCTCAGGGTGCCTCCCGGGCTCAGGAGTGCCTCCCGGGCTCAGGGTGCCTCCCGGGCTCAGGGTGCCTCCCGGGCTCAGGGTGCCCCTCTATCCGCAGGAGGAGGACGGGCGCTGGCTTCTGTGCTGGGAATGGTGATGACCATGAGGACAGCAGCTCCCGGACCCGCAGGGTCCCCACGAGAGCTATAACAGGCTGGGCACTGTGAGGGCCGCTGGTGTCCCCAGCCGCCCCTGTCGATGAGAGCTGGGGTACCGCGGAGGGGCGGCTCTGAGGTCCCCAGGCGGCCGCTGAGGGGAGTCTCGCCGAGACAGCCACTCAACAGAAAGGTCCCAGGAAACCTGTCTGCCCAGAAGGAGCCTTGGGGAGATCCCTGCACCCCCCCCCCACACACACCCCCCCCCCACGGCATAAGGACAGCCCCAGAAAGCCCTTCCCTCTGCCACAGGGAGCGTGTCTCCTGGACGCTGTCTCCACAGCATGAGCTCTCACTCCGCGGAGTCAGCCCGAGTTCCGGGGGGTGGGGTGGGGGGTAGGAGGACACCTGCCCCTCGCGCCCTCTCTGCCTCCCCCCACGCCCTCGGTGCCTGGGCCTGCCCGTGCCCACAGAAGCCCGGCTCCCCCACCGTTCGCGGCCCCGACACTCACTGGACGTGATGTATTCCGGCGCTTTCCCCGGGCTCAGCGGCACGGCCTCCTCGTAGTAGCCCTCCGGGAGCGAGGACGTGGGCAGCGGGGGCGGCCCGCTGTCGGGGGGCTGCGGACGGAGGGGACAGGAGGCACTGGAGCGCCGGGCCCGCACTGAGAGGCGCGTCCCCTCCCCGGAAAGCCTCTGCGGAGAGCTCCGCCCTGTGAAGAGGCGCTGGCGTCCGCGCCCGATGGGTCCCCGCTCACTGTCCAGCCGGCCAGCCTGGCCACGCTCCCGCACCCGCACAGGCGCCGGCAGGGACCAGGCTGCGGCCCGTGTCCCGGGAGCGCCTGCAAACCCGCTCTGGCTCCGAGTCACCTTCCCAAGCGGAACCGGGGACCCGCCCCCAGAACTGACAGGTGCCTCGCCTCTGTCCCCACACCGCTGCCCGCGAGCCTCCAGCCTGGCTTCTCCGAGGCCCACCCCGAGCTGGATCGGGGACGATTCGGGTCAGCACCAGGGATATGGGGACTGAGGGATTGAGGGGTGCACAGCACCACGCCAGGCTCCTAACACTGCAGGACCGTGTCAGAGAGAAAAGGGGAGCCGGCCAGTGTGGCTCAGTGGTTGGGTGTCGATCAATGAACCAGGAGGTCACGGTTCAATTTCTGGTAAAGGGCACATGCCCAGGCTGTGGACTCGATCCCCAGTGGAGGGCAGCCAATCAATGATTCTACCTCATCGATGCTTCTATCGCTCTCACTCTCCCTTTCTCTCTCTAAAATCGATTACAAACAATAACAACAAAAGAAAACGAAGAAACAAACAAACAACGAGGCCATCGCTGCGCACACTCGGCTGAGCAGCTGCGGCCCGGAGCGAGCATTAGGAACTCAGACCGCGGACCCCAGAGAGAGCCGCCCTGGACCGCCTCCGCTCAGACCTGGACCGGCGTCTACCCCCTGGGCAGCAGAGAGGAGGCAGGAAGGGCAGGGAGGGGGTGCCCATGGAACCCTGGGAGCAGGCCCCGACCGCCAGGGCGGCAGTGTCCCCGGAGCAGTTCCGATGCGCACGGTCAGTGACACACACGTCCCAGGAACACGTACGCGTTTTTCTTCTAAAGAACTTTATCCGGAAGCAGCACTGCGGCGAATCAGCCGCTGACCCAGAGAGCGAGCGGTCACCCAGCCTCCACGCCGACACCTGGCGCTGAGCCCCTGATTTCCGGGCTGCGGCCTCCTCCCTGCTGCTCCCGCAGCTCCCACAGCACCGAGGCGGCCCCCCCGGAACCGCAGGGCGGCCACTCACCAGCCAGGGCTGCGGGATCTCTGGCAGCGGCATCTGGGGCGGCGCCGGCAGGCTGCTGGGGGCCTCCTGCTTCGGAGCGTGGTCTCTGCCTTCAGAACCTGGGGATCAGCAAGCGCAGGCCGTGAGGAGGACGCACTTACCGCCTCGGCCCCGCTGACCCTTCACCTACGGCCTCTGACCCTCACGCCCCTGCAGGGAAGTGCGTTCTCCTCCATCTCACCGGGGAGAGCCTGGGCGGGAAAAGGCTAAGAACTGCTGCCGCCCACCAGGAGGAAGTGGAGCCAGCAACGCGTGAGGGGGCTGCACACAGCCCCTCCGGACCACGCGGTCTGTCCCGGGCACCTGCCTGTGCAGCCGCCCTCCCCGGTAATGCCCAAACCCTGGCCCGAGAAGGCACCTCTGTAGGCTGAGTCCTCCTGGGAATCTCCAAAGGGTGGGGTGCCCCGGGGGCCCCCAACACGCCCCTGTACCTTTATCTCCTTAAAGGCTTGCACCGGGCATACAGCAAGACTTTTAACAACTTCACATTAGACAAACGCACACGTTACTAACCCGAGGACTGCGCTTTAGGAAGGGGGGTCAGAGGTGTGTGAGGCCGGGCGGGGGGTGGGGGGCGGGGGGCACGCACCTTTGGAGGCCTGTATCCTGAGCAGGATGTCCGTGATCACGGCCTTCTTCTCCCGGACAGCGGACGTTAGGTATTCGTGGTCCAGGAGCTCAAGGAAGAGGCGCAGTTCAACTATTAGCTCCTCCATGGCTGAAACGAGGAGGAGGTGACATTAGACTCACGGATTCCAAATGTCAAACACAGATGCCAGGCCTGGCTCAGAGCCTCGCCCTCCTTGCTGGCGGGATGCGGCGTTCCCACGGAGCAGTCTGCCGGAGCCAGGCCCCAGCGGCGTGAGCGCCCTCCTCCGTGCACACTCCGCGCACGCGTGCTGCTCCGCACCGGCTCCGGGGCGGCACGCTCAGCGGGGAGGTGCCCCGGCCACGTCGCCAGCAGATGGAGGCAGGCTGACATCACCATCATCGTCTGCACCACATTAAACTCCCATGTCAGAGAGGAGAAGGAATCTCAAATGCCAAATAGTTTTCCATAGCCGCTCTGACCTGGTTTTGGAAGCCACACCCGCCTGCTCTGCAGGGCTGGCCACCCCCCTGAGGGCGAGGGCTGTGCAGGGTTTGAGGGGAGGCCCGGGCAGCCCCGCCCTCATGGCCACAATGCGGACTACAGCATGTTTAAATCATCGGAAAGCTTTCCATCATCAGAAACATTAGATCATCAGCAAGTTTTGGTTTGTTTTTGTTAATCCTCACCCGAGGACACTTTTCCATTGATGTTTTAAGAGAGTGGAAGGGAGAGGGAGAGACAGAGAGAAACATTGATGTGAGAGATACATCGATTGCTTGCCTCCCACATGTGCCCTAGCCAGGCCCGGGAATCAAGCCTGCAACGGAGATACTTGCCCTTGACCGGCTGCTGCCTCCTTGTCCCGCCCGTCTCCTTCTCCGCCCGCCCTGTGCGCCCCTCAGTGTTTCTGAATGAGGCTGTCTCCCCGCACGCATCAGGCTGCTTCCCGCAGTGACCTGGGCGCTCCCTGCTGCTCTCTGCGGTGCGCCCTCACCTGTACGCCCGTCTGGTCCCCACACACACCCCGCCCCGCCTTTTACCATCCACGCCCAGCTCGGCTACCAGCACCTCGGCCCACCTTCCTAGGGCCTAACCACGCTGTGGCTGCGTGAGTCTGGGGGTGGGGGACAGTCTGAAGTGTGGGACAGCCTCCGTGGGACCGCTCTGCACCCAGACAGCCTCGCACGCCGCCTGCAGGGAAGCTAGCACCCCACGAACACGGGGACGTGCCTGCTGGGTCCCCGCACAGCTGGTTCCTAGATCTTCGTAACAGAGCAGATTCCTGGGATTGTTTGTAAGAGGAAATTGCAGAGAGACATGCCAAGCCCGTCCCCTCACTGACTACTCCATGTGACATTCTCTGAACACAGCCAGCCGGTGCAGGGCTGCCTGGCAGTGCCTTCTCAGCTGGTGGCACCTGGGCAGGCCTCTGCTGAGGGCAGGCGCCATGGGAGCACTCAGAGGGCTGAGTGATGGACACAACTCACGCAGCAGGGAGCACGGAGCGGCCAGCGAGCACGGCACCAGCATACCTTTCCTTATAGGGTTATGGCGGGAGGTAGGCCGCTCCGCAAACACGTTCCCCCTCCGCTTATCTGGCTGGGCTGCCGGAGGCCAGAAGACTCAGGGCAGGCGGGGTGCTCTCTGGGGGAAAGTCATGGACTCCAGGCGGCCATGAGTGACCGCGGCTGAGCACAGCGCCCTGGCCACGGTGCGGGTAACAGCTTTGCGCAGGCAGCACGGGGAGACCGGCCAACCGCAGGCCCTCGGGGCTGGTTTCATCAGGATCGGAGGGGAGAGAGCAGGCCTCGCCTTGTCGCTCTCCTGTTACAGGACAGGCCAGGACAGACCGCCCCCGCTCAGCCTCAGCACCGACTCCCCCACGTCCCCCAGGCCCCAGGAAGCCATGTGTGTTCCGAGTCCTGAGAAGCTGCCGCTCCGGCTGCTCAGAGGCAGCAAGGCCCCCGGGAACGGCCGTGGCAGTCCGCAGAGCGCATTCTTGGGGAAGATATCATGACTTGCTCAGGCAGATTAATCTGTGGATGGATGACTCAAGCCCGAACAGAAAACACCTCCCCATTGTTTGGTGAAGAGCAAGAGAGGAGACCCAGAGCCACACATGCTTCTGCTGGTCACGGTGATGTGCGTGCCCCGACCGCACCCAGGCCCGCTTCTCGCTTCCTTCCAGAGCCTGATGCTGGGCTGCAGACCAGGGCCCCGCACTCCCAGGGGAGGCGAGGGAGGGGAGGGAGGTCGGGCCACAGGGTTCCGGGCCCGGCTGTGACAGACATTCCCAGGAGCTGACACAGTGCGTGTTTCCTCGCACGCACCGCCCAGCCTCCTGTGTGCGATACACAGCCGAGCCCACGGCAGCCGAGGGGGAGCTTCAGGGGACAGGACTGGAGACACCAGCCTCTCCCCGAGTGAACCTCAACCCCCTGCACCCCAGACAGCTTCCTGCGGCAGCTCAGAGAGGCGGCTGCGGCCATTTGCTCTGCCTCCCACAGCCCGAGTGACAGTGCGTTTCAGATGCCCGACCCCGGCCAGGGGCCGTCAGGAGGGTGGGAGGCGGGGCCACACGGGAGAACGGGGGTGAAAATACCCTCCCGGAGACACACGGGCACAGGAGAAGGCATGGAACGGGGGGCACCTCCCCCACCGGGAGCGTTAAGCGCCACCTGTACCAACGTCTCCGAGAAGGAGGGTTCCGGTGGCTGCGGGGCGGGCCCTCACCAGGCTGGGAACTGGTCCCACCGGCAGGCCGCAGGGCGGGCCAGCCGCCCCCTCCCCCAGGAGCGGGACTCGGTTACGGTTCGTGGAGATGGCCGCCCCCAGCTCCGCAGCTGCGCTCACACTCGCCCTGTGAACACGCTGCAGACGGGGTTTCCGGTGCTGCCTCCTGCCCCCGCGCGGCCTCAGGGCACCAGGTCCACCACCGCAGTGAACCCGCCGCCAGCCCGGCGGTCAGGAGGCAGCGAAGCCCCTGAGGACAAGGACATGCTGGCTGCCTGCTGCCCCCCCAATGGTCAGGTTCGGCCAGACCCAGGATGCCGGTGCCAGGGCTCAATCCTGCACACAGCTCATCCCGTCCTCTCGCCGCTGAGGGCACACACCGGACCTGCCCACGGCCCGTCTGTGGGAATGAGCTTCTCGGGCCGGCCAGGGGCCGTGGCTGAGCGCCGTCCGTGCCTGAGAGTGCCAGCGCGATCCCATCAGGGCAGGCGCCTGGCTGCAGGCTGGACCCCAGGGGGGCAGCGTAAGGCAGGCAGCCAGTGTCTCTCTCACTGAGGTGCCGCGCTCTCTCTCTGAGCAGGTCCTAGGGGAAGACTTAGAAAGAGGAGACTTTGCCTGGGACGCAGCGGCCATGCGCGCTGCTCTCGCCTGCGGTGCTTTCCTGGCACAGCGCAGGGGGAAGCAGCAGCGGGAGGGGAGACGCACGTCTCAGACACGCACTGGCCGCCCTCCCCAGAGGAGCCGCCCCCTGCCCCGGTGCTCCGGGGACCAACTCCAGCGGGACCCCCTAGGCCCGGAGCCCGGAGCCAGCGAAGCTGCGAGCTCCGGGGAGAAGGGCAGGCCGCTCAGAAGTTGGTGACCCCTTCCGGAATGGCACCACCTTCCCGGTGACGGTGCTGAGCAGCGTCCCGGGAGACAACTCCTGTATGACCTCAGTGACCCCGCACAACTGCTTCTGGAGCATCGCACCCGCCTCCTTCCCGAGGGGACAGCCCCGGGGAGGCCTGCGGCGGTGACCAGCTGTCTGCAGGAAGTGCCGCCCAGGCTCCACCTGTGCCCAGTCCCCTCCCATGGCCGTAGGCCGACAGCAGGCACAGGCCGGGCTCCCCCAGGGACGGCTGCGAGGCTGCTGCTGGCCGCCCCGTCCCCGCAGACGGAGCCCCTCCTGCACGCGTGCTGGGGAGGCGGCGGGCACGAGCTGGTGGCATATGGCCCTGTGCTAATGGAGCCAATTAGCGCCACGGCTGGTCCCGGCAGCGCCTTGGGGCTGGGAGCTCTGTGCTCACGGGAGCTCTGTGCTCACGGGGCGATGATGCAGTGGCTGCGCGGTGTCCACACGGCGATGCCAGCTCTCACAGGCACTGCCGTCCGTCTCACTGTGAACGAGGAGCAGAGCTGGCCCCAGGGTTTTGCTTTAAACATACACTGAGATCTCTGAACGCATAATCATCGGGCCACTCAGCGTACATATTTTTGAGTATATTTTTACTGGTTTCGGAGAGGAAGGGAGAGGGAGAGAGTTGCTCATACGGGAAGTAAGATAACTAATAGATAACAATATAAGCATAAACTCTGTTACTCACACTGTAGGCCTACCTTTGCCCACCCTGTACACACACGGAACAGGTATGATTTGGCAGTGAGTGGCGTCGTAAGGCAGTGAGTGGCGTCCGGCCCACAGCGGGCTGCTAGGTAAGTTTGGGGGAGTCAGAAGTTATACCTGGATTCCCAACTGGGCAGGGCTCAGTGCCTGACCTCACACTGTTAAATAACAATCAACCTTACGGTGCGACCAGCCAGTCCCAGCTTCACCCACGGCCTGAGCTCGTGGTGTCTTGCTCACTGACTTCCTCCAGGCACGCCTTGGCCTCTGCCCTTGGACCTCAGATTCAGCCCAAACCCAGGGCTGCCAGGGTCCCCATCTCAACCACGGCAATTCTACTCTTCCCGTTACTCAGCCCGAACCCGGGGCGCCGCCCTCCTCACTCCTGTCCTCGGCCCATCCGCACACCTACAGGCTCCTCTCAAACAGGAGCCGCCCCAGCTCACTGCCCTCGCTGCTGCCACCTGGCCAGGCCCCCTCACCTGGCACTGCAGGGCTCTGGCCCCCTCTTCCCGCACCGGCTCATCCAGCCCCAGGCGGTCCTCTGCTCTCGGACATTTCAGGGCCAGAAAGTTAAATGGGGGGAGGGGGCGGATAAGGGGAGCAAGAGAGTGCAAATGTCGTAAAGCATGTGTGTGTGTGTGAGTGCGTGTGATGTGTGTGTGTTTGTGTGTGTGTGTGAGTGTGAGTGTGTGTGTGTGACTGTGTATGTGTGAGTGTGTGTGAGTGTGTGTATGTGTGTGTGAGTGTGTGTGTGTGTGTGAGTGTGAGTGTGTGTGAGTGTGTAT